CAGGGTCACATTTCTGAATGGCAAAGATCAAGGTCAGGGCAACCAGGGACTTCTGACCGCCAGAAAGCTGTTGCATGTCTCGCATTTCGGCTTTATTTCCGGTAAATGAAACCTACAAAAAAGAAAATTTGGTTTCAATCAAAAGTTTTAAGTGATACTGCTTGAATTAATTTTAGTCTCTATTTTGTTCTTCCAACATTAAACAGAACCAATATCAAACCTTAATTCCAACTCCTGTAAACTGTTCTACCAAGGGGATGTCAGCTTCAGCACCCTAAAAATGATACATTTTTTTTACTTCAACATTCTATGCACGCACAACAAGAAGTAATTTTATTCTTGTGTAAGACATTTTAAACTATCTGATTTAAAATGGCTAGAAAAATGTACTACACAAAAACATAATCTAGAAGTAAATTTTAAACTATCTGACTTAAACCTTTGAACAGTCTAAAAACATATACTAAACAATAACTTACATCTCCTTCAACTTCGCCTTTTTTCATGACCAGAACACCATGACCTTGTGGTACCAGTTTCTTAAAGATTTCACTGAAGTATCGAGATACCTGTGATAAGGAGCAAACAGATATAGTTCATCTTAGTAGTTTTTAAAAGCTAAATTTAGGCGAATAAAGTTTATATCAATATTTTGGTCAATACTTAGTGGCTACAAACCTGTTTAAAGGTCAACTGAATGGCTTCATATTTTCTGTGGTCAAGGGCATTCATCAAATCTATTATAGACTGGGGAAAGATTGAATTAAAACAAAGTTATCATTTGAGCAAAATGGAATGTCTGAGTAGCTAACTGTGTCCTGACCATCTAACTTAATCTGACCAGTGTCCTAACCTTAAGTCAGACATATCCATGTGACCTGTCTATACTCAATATCTGACCTTACTAATGTGGCAATCTGACCTGTTTGTAGTGACCATCTAGCATAACTATGAGACTGGCATGTCCTAAATATCTGACCACTTGTCCCAACTGCCCTATCTATCTGAGCTGACTGGCCTAACTATCTGAGCTGACTGCCCTAACTATCTGAGCTGACTGCCCTAACTATCTGAACTGACTGCCCTAACTATCTGAACTGACTGCCCTAACTATCTGAACTGACTGCCCTAACTATCTGAGCTGACTGCCCTAACTATCTGAGATGACTGGCCTACCTGCTGAGCACTGTCCAGTTCCTCTTTTCTTTTCATAAGCTTCTCCTTTTGGTCAGAGAAATTGACAAATTGATCCAAAGCTTTTTTGTTGACATGGCTGTAGCGTTTCAACTGTTGGTTACAACTTTCTAGCTTCTTGAATAACTGGAAAAGTAAATTACATTTTTATAATGAAATTTAAATGAAAAATTAATCTACAAGGTAAATCGGGTGTGTAAAAAAACAAATCAAGTTAAAATCAAAATTCTTTTGACTTGCCTGCTTTAAATTCATATTTTGATATTTTTCAAATGCATCTGATGGAAGTGAGCCTAATTCACGAATCTTTTTCATACAATCTTCTTTCTGTTAAAAAGAGATTTATAAAATTAAAAAATATTGTATGTTTATCACTAAAGCAATTATGTGTTTCTTAATCAATAAATATAAATACTAATTTAATTGATTTTCAAAATCAATGGAAAAAAAACCCAACTTTATTGGGTATTGTTACATTAGCCAAGATTACTTTATCATAATGTTTAATAGCATATGATTTTAGCTTAATATAACAAGAAATATCTAATATAGATGAAAAAAAAATAATCAAACTAACCTTTTTAATAAGTAAACTTTGTTTTTGTGATATTTTATCTAATTCTTTGGCATCTTCTCCAATTTTTTCTTGAATATCTCGTTCCTTACCCTTAAAATATAAAAAATGTTCATGAGAAAAATTACAACACAAATTTTAAATGGCAAAGAAAGAATATGAAAAGCCAGTATAGTTTTTTTTTTGCCTTAAAAAATTATTTACCCTCCATAACTCTAATTGCGTTTGTAACTGTTTCTGTTCTTTATTTAACTTTTCTATGCTACTGTCAGTTTCTGTAAAAAAATAAAACATTTTAAAAAGGTGTAAAAAAAACAAAACAACATAAGGAACAGCTTATCTTAAAGCAAGAAATCTTAACATTTTATAATGAGAATGAATTCATACCAGTAGTTTGTGCTTCAAGCTCTGCTACACGTTTTTCCACTTCAATTTTTTCAGCTTTGTATCCACTTAACCGTTTGTCTTGCTCCTCTAAGCTTACTTCCCTTAAATCCTGTTGAAGTCTTTCTCGTTTCTTTGTCAGGTTGTTGTTGAGAATATTTTCTAATTTATTTTTCTCTGTCTCAAGCTGTGTAACAGAACAAAAAAAAACATTAATTGAAACATACATACATACAATACACGTATACTAATTTTCGGGGAATCTGCTTTTCAGATCATTTAGATCAGGGGTCTCCAAACTTTTCAACCCGAGGGCCGTGTTAACTATCAAATATCAGTTCGGGGGCCAGTTTCTTCCGGGCATCTCTTTGGGGTGCCTGAGCCCCCCCCCCCCACCTAAGAACATATACCCTTTTTCCCTACGCCCCAAAGAAATATAAATTATACAGAAATATGTATAAATTTCAGCGACTCATCCAACGCAATTGAGAAATGGCGAAACTTGCATGCATTTTTTCACCGTTTGAGTCACAATGTTTTCATCAATGTCTGCAACACGGCGGGCAATGGTATTTGCACCCAAAGCTACATTTTCAAATCGTTTTGAATTTTCTTTTAAAGTTCCTCAGCGACCTTCAACAAACATTTTTCCGTGGACAAAAATATCTCCGCGGGCCGGAAGAGAGGTCCTTGCGGGCCGCATCCGGCCCGCGGGCCGTAGTTTGGAGACCCCTGATTTAGATCATTACTAGTGTATCTATTTTTTAAAAGACGGTCTATTTACAATACAATTTGGTAAAATCTTTATGAGAATAAAAGTAAGTAAAGTTCCCCATTGAACCTAGCAGTTCATAGAGGAAATGAAGTAGGGTTCATCTATTCTTAGCCTACGGCATATGAAAGGATCAGCACAATTCCCAGAAACCATTACTTTCTGTAATGCCAGTCAGGTTCTCATTAGAACTGAGTGGACTTAGAAATGTCCTACAAACTAAACAAGATTTAAACTTGAAACTTTCAGGCTGCAGTCAAGCGCTTTACTGCCTGACACCCCGCCCTATTTTATGAGCAGAAACTCACCTTAATTCTCTCCTGCCAAGCTTGCCTGTTCTCTTGGGTGAGTTTATTAATTTGATCATTGAGAAAGTCAACTTGTCGCTGGTCTTCAACACTCAGTTGTGATTGCAGTTCTGTACCCAGCTCTTCTTTTAGTGCTTCTGCCTGGCCTTTCATTGCTTGTAAACTAGACTCCAGACTAGCAACACTCTTGCCCTAAAAATAATTTGTATAAGAAAATATTACTTTTAAAATTATTCATGGATAGTTATCAAACAAACAATGACATAATTGTGGTTGTTATTGAAATAAAACCACATACCTTAAAAAGAAATCTATCTTTGATACAGAAATGAGACTTACCCTTGAAGGCTGTGTGTTTTGTAAACTGGATAACTCCTCTTTCTTTAATCTCAGATCTGCTTGAACTTTTTCATATGCATCTCTGGAAAACAAAAATATTATGAAACTACTGTACTGATTCTTTAATCGACCAGAAAAAATATGTTTTAAAAAATGCTACAGTATCTCACTTGTTTTTGCTGTTTTTAGTCTCTAGTTTTTGCATCTCAGACAACAGGTTGGTTATATACTGCTCCACCTTCTCCAGCTCCACCCTGTGACTCTGATACTCCATTTCTTGGGCCTGCTTCGCCTCTGTTAATTCCATTTTACTTTTTTGCAGGTCAAGCCTCGACCGCCTTGTGTCATAATAGCCTCCTGTTAGTGCTCCTCTGCGGCTAACTTGGTCACCTAAAAATTACAAGAAAAGAAACAAAATAAAAATCATAACAGAACCACTTTTTGTAGATGCTGAAACCACATGCTTATATAAAGGAGATCCCACCTTCTAAGGTGATGCAGTCAAGGTTTTGTGTTCTGGCAAACTGAGTGGCAACTTCCATGTTTCTGGCTATCAAAGTTTTACCAAACACGTGTTTCATTGCTGGGTCAAACATTCTGTCAAACTGAAGTTTTTTTATCATGGCCACTGCATCCTGTAATAGAAGCAGCAAAATGAGCAGCTAAAAAAACACAACTACTCTACTTACGTAATTTTACCTAAATGTTTGTTAACCTTTAAGAAATGTCTCAATTAACTCAAATAATCTATTCTAAAGTTTGTAGAATACTTGTAAAACTTACTGAAGTATCTGGGTAAGGGGTGTCTCTATTCTCCAGCCTGTTTAAGGGCATGAACGTCACCTCACCAGGTAAATGGAGCCTATTCATTTCTTTCAGCAGTATGGTACCAGTGCGATCTGTATCAACAATGTGGTGGAACAGCCTGGAAGAAATAAGAAAAAAAAAAATTAAAACATCAACACTATTGAATTATTAAATAATACAGAGTTTATAATTAGCTTCTTTGATTTTAATTAACAAATGTCAATTGTTTAAACAATTGGCAGATCCCTAGTGCCAATTGAACTATGTCTAGTTTCAAATTGTAAATAATCCCATGCAGCCAGCCATTGGTAAAATAATGTTTATTTTAAAAGAAAACTTTTCAATATGATTGATAATGCATCCCTATTTATAATTTAAGGCTAAAAATTAGAGAGCTTTTTTAAATAAAAAATAAAAATTTTCTCTATCTAACAGTAAAATATATTTTAAATGGCAGGAACGTACCGGGAACCAGCTGTAACTTCAACACAAGTGTAGTAGACTTTCTCACACTCAAAGGCTTCAATTAGTAAACCATGATAACCATCAATGACTTCTGGGTATTTATTTTGTTCCCTAAATGATTGAAGAACTTTTTGTATACTGTCGATGCCATTCAGCATACCCTAAGAAAAAAAATATGCAGAGTAATACAGAGAAAATATGAAATAATGTGTACACAAAAACACCTATAACATAGAGTTACTCATTTTCAAATGGAATTTTATTTTACCTTCCCAGTTAAAGAACGCAGACCCTGCAGTCTTTTGTTCAGTTCTTCTGTTGTAGTAGTTAGCTGCTGCTGAAGGGAGTTTTCTTGGCGCCACAGAGTGCTATGGTTAAAAAATTAGATGATGTTACAAAGATCAGTATATTACCCTGGTGACAAAATAAATGGGATAGAATTCATAGGTTGATTTGAGTTCAGTCATCTTAACTTTCCTGGACTCAACCCATTTGAGCTGAGTGGTCAGGAATGTCCAGGCACAATCAAAATGTCAAGCTCAAAGTGACAAACTCTACTTCATCTACTAAGTCTCTGTCAGACTTGTTTTACAAGTAAAAAAATTTTTTAAACTAGTTAACAGCTTGTAAATTTATAAAACAGCTTGAATTTTATTTGAAAATGATGGTTAGTTTCACAATGGCAAGTCTAATTTATAAAGCAAATAAAGCACATTATTTGCAATTTTTAAAAAATGGTGTATGTAAATTAATTAAAATATTTAATGAATTCACCAAAACTTACTTCCTGGTGTTTTGTTGTGTGTCCTTATCTGCCTTCATTTCAGCAAATTTACGATTATTTTCCTCAATACCCTGCTTTCTGTTTTCCAAGTCCTTTTCAAGTTCCTACAAAAAATGTATTAAGTCATAATGATAAGTTATGTTCATAATACAACTAAATTAAAACATTCTTGTACAATCACCAGAAGAATAAAAAAAAAGCATGCAATAATTCAGCAATATTAAATCGCAACTTACGCCGATCTCTCTTTGGAGATTTGCTGTTTGGCCTTGACCTTGCTGCTGAGCATCTCGCAATCTACTTATCTGAAATTCAGAAAAGTTTGATTTAAAATGAACATAATATAAGCCAGGAAACAGATCTAATTCCCAAAGTAACAAAGGACATATTATAATCAAATTTGTTGCTTAACAAACCAGGAATAAAAAATAAAAAAACACAATTAATAGCACAAACACATTCAAAATTAAGTTACCTACACTTTCTAAACCGGACAAAAATTTACATCTATGCCATGTAATCTAAAATTCCACAATATCAACAACAAAATATACCAATTTATTGCTAATTGCAGTTCATTGCTAAACTAAAACCTGTGGTTTTTAAGTATAAAAGTATGTCCTGAACTGACCTGCTCTTCCTTATCTTTAATTGCTTTATTCAAAGACTTCAGTTCTTTTTTAATCCAATTATCTCTGTCTTCACGAGACTGAAAGTGACTTCCCCTGCCTTGCTTGGCATAAAGTTCTTTCCTTTTCTGATCTGCTTCTGCAAGTCTGAACCAACATACATACCATATAGTAAATAACTTTTTTAGCTACATTGAAACTTCATTTTAAAATACCTAAAAAGATAGATGCTGACATTTTAAGTCAGTTTTTGAGTAAGTTAAAATCACAACCAACATAAACAAATATACAAATTTTAAGAAAATTTATACCTTGTAGAACACATTTCTTCATTATCAAGTTTGTTTTGATACTCTTGGCAAATCAAATCATACTGTGCTTGGGTATTTTTAATTTTTTCATTGACTTTTGCCAATTCTGCTTCTGTTTTCGCCTAGTGAATATAGACAGTGTTTAAAGGACTGGACTTTAAGAATTAAAATATGAATTGTAATGTGTAATCAAATTCACTTTTAATTAATCTTCTATATATTATACTCAAAATTATTGACCAAGGGGAAACAATTATTAAAGACAATTACAAGTTAAAGAACAGAAGCATTTTTGACTCATTTGTGATAAATAGCTGCAAATCTGATTTTAAGGCTTATGATGACTAGCTATGTCATAAAACTGTTCTGTAACTAACTAAATGTAAACTGCAGCTAAACTAAGACTATCATAATGTCTTTGCAAGTAAAATTACTGGAAAGGCAATTGAGAATGAATTGGAATGTCCTTGTTGCAGCCTTATGTCACAGCAGAATGACAAGCAAATCTAGTCTAAACTTGCATTGTGACAAGACTAATCACATACAAATCACAGGATTTGTTACCTTGGTGTTTTGATTTCCTCTTTGATCTTCAACTATGTCTCTGATGCTCAACTCTAGCTTAGAGTTTTTCTTGGTCAGTTCATGGTATTCTGCAGACAGACTTTCCTTTTCCTCAAGTGATGCCTGCATTCTGGCTTTTAGCTCTTTCAAATCTTTGTTGATGGTCTGCATGAAAATTATTAGCATTGACACAAACAGTTACTACAATACACATTTCTATGCATAATAATGTTCCGGTAGTCACTGTCAATGTTATAAAACCAAATAAATACCCTCTATTACTTACTTTGACTTTATCGTTTGCTGCAGTTAATTCATCACGCAAGGCTGTAGAGTTAGCCCCACTATTGTCTCGTTTAGATTGTAGCTAAAAAAAAATTGAAAATATATTTTGATACATATAAGCAAAGTGAAATATTACACTTATAAGATTACAAAGAATTTTTTTTGAGCTCTATTACCTCATCTAATTTCTTGCGAGTGTCTTTAAGCTCATGATCATGAATTGTGTATTCTAATGATCTGAAATAAAGCAATGCATTTTGTTGTCAGGTAAAAATTTCAAATTTAGATTTGAGAATGCATTTAAAAATACAACACAAAGCTTAAATAAGGAATAGCAGGTCAAATTGTAATAATTTTATTTTCAGTATTTATCTCTAATTAGTGTATGACAAATATATTAAGACAAAATACCTCCTCATTTTATCCCACTTCTGATATTCTTTAAGTTCTTCCTTTTCACCTTCTAATGTGTTTAGTCTTTCTTCAATGTACTTCAGAAGATCATTTATTTTCTCTCTTTTCCCATCTAATTGAATATACAAAAACAACACATTTACTATTGTAGTTACAATTTGAATAATAACAAAAAAATCTAAAAGCAGAAAGTTACCTGTTTCAGTCAATATCCCATTACTTTCTTCTTTACGCTCATCATACACTTTGGTACCAGCTACTTCTCTTAGAAGTTTGAGTCGTTGAGAATCTGGAGCAGTAGCCATTTGATTGATCTAAAGAAAAGACATAAAAACTCTTATAAAGATTTAAAAAAACTGAATGAATTAAATTATAATACAGAGTAGTAGGGTTCGATATTTAGTTTTGAGATTGATTCCCATATGCTGATTATCTGGGATAAGGGAAAGTAAAGGTAGCGTCATTTTTTGAGGTTAAACAACAACAGGTAAACTCAATTGAATATACCCTATGGAGTCAATGATCTCAAGGGCAATTATTTAAAGCAGCTATTTACCTTTCCTTGCTTGACAATGTAGTATGGATTACTACGAGAAAATCCAGCACTCTCAAGCAGATTCATGACATCAGATTTACTAGAGCCAAAATGGAAAAAAAAAAAACAATTATAATAAAAAAACTGTTTAGAATATTTCCTTGCCGGGATACAATCAAGATGATTATGTGGTAAACAATGTTATTAAAATTTAGCCACCTTTAAACTATTTTTATTATGCAGGATAATACTTACGTAACCATTTTTTTGTCTAAGAAATACTGATCTTTCTTTGAACCGATAACACGCCTCAGGACAACTTCATCCTTTTCAATCTGCGAGGGAAAAAAATAATTAAATTACATGTTTTATATTATAAAACTTACAGAAACAAACTCATGTTAATTTCTTTTAAAACTACAGACTTACCGGAATTCTGTTATCTGAGTTGTCAAAGATAATTTCCACAAAAGCACTGATTACTCTTGGGCCTGTGCCTTCATGCAACAGAGCCTGGCGTTGGTCTGGTCTCATGTGACTGAACTCATCAGACAACACAAACTGTATGGCTGTAAATACAAATTTGAAAAAAAATCTTATTTTATTGTATACAATTTTTACTAGGTAATAATTGTAATAATTTAAATAATAAAGCAGATATTAACTAATGTAGATTTTAATATAAAAAAAAAAAGAACATGTTGTGAAAGACAAAAATAATATCACTACTCACCATAAAAGAAATTACTTTTGCCTGAGCCATTTCTTCCAACTAAAATAAATAATGAATTCATGAAGGAAAAATGTAAAAAAAAAAAAAAAAAAAGTAACAACACGGAAAACTCTGAAAACAGCCAATAAAAAATTAAAGGATGTCACTAAAAGACAGTTAAATTTTGTTATTGTTCTGTTATCTATGTACCAATTGCTTGTTTTGATAGCGTCTTAAAACTAGGCAAAATCTAAGCACAATTATTGTTTTTTATATGACGTACTTTTTTTTTTACATAAATTAAGTTTATACTTACCAATAACATTATGTTTAGGACTGAATGGCTCTACAACAGTTTGATCTCGATAACTTCGGAAGCCTTGAATAATAACCTATTAAATAAAACAAAGTAAAAGGATCAGACCTTGAGTGTTTTTACATGAATGTCAATAATTAACAGCAGACTTTTTACTGCTTAATTGCTATTTAAAAAAAATGTCAGATAGATTCTACTTATGTCTGATATTTAAAATTATAAATAATTTAATTCAAACAGAAACTTTTAGAGTTTTCTATATATGCTTCAGCTTTTGAAATTTTAAAAACTATTTTAATGTACTTGGTATGTTGTTATAGTTTATTACTGTGGTCTGAACAGCCTTATAAATTGAATGAGCAAATTGACTTAAGTCCTGAATAAAATAATCAATATATAAAAACATCATTGAAAAAGAAAGAAAGAATAAAAACTATCAATTAAATTATTAATTTTCTGAAAAAATAATAATGCACCTCTATTTATATAACAACAAAGCAAGGTTAAGGGTCAAAGTGAGGCCATGATAGTCAAGACTTAGTACGCCAGTTTAATATGTCATAGCATGAATTGTGATGTGACTTTTATTCCCAAGCAATAACAATTACACACTTCAGGTCACAGTGAGTTCACACAATAGCTGAGAAAATATTGTCTGCAATAAAATTTTGCAGGTACCCCCCCCCCAAGCAATAACAAATACGTACTTGGGGCTACAGTGAGTTCACACTAGTGACTGTAGTTACAAGGAAGGGTGGGTTATCATTAAGATTAAGACTAACTTTAATCGTCATTTCAAAAACAGACAGGAAAGTGAAAAAATACTGTTCTTGAATCCTGGGTATCCTGGAAAAGTGGCGCACTGTCTCTGTACATGATAAATGACAGTTGTAAAAAGCACTATGAACAGCTAAAATAACTAAAGTGATGCATAGTCCATAATTAGTAACTATGAAATGACTATGCAGAGCAAACTGCATGCCACACCATACTCCTGACACAATCACAATAACTTTTGTTATTGTAGGAAATTTTTCCCAGTCGTAGTTGAGGAACAGACTAAATATTTTCGAAGTGACTACTCGTAAGAAGATTTTTCTCCCCAACGTCTCCACTTAGTCGGCAAAAGATACCTCTGCGCATGCGCAGTGACCTATGGCTAGGGTTAGAATGAGGATTAGGGGTAGGATTAGGGTTAGAGTTGGTGTTAGGGTTCTGCGGCTGTAAACACATGCATGCGCAGTACCATCGAAAACATCGCCGCGAAGGCAAGTCGTAGTTTCTCTCATTGTGCATGCGTATCTTATTCCGGCTAGCATCAGCCAAATTTTTAAAAATAATACTAAATAGGTAGGAAATATGGCTATTTACAACCAACTGGAAATAGCCTTGACCAAAAAAACTGACTAACTTCAGGGTTCATCATTTTTAATTTTAAAAATGTGTAGGTCTAGGAGTCTAGGGTTAGGCTTTGTCAATTTAAAAAAAAAATTCTTGTTTCTAGAGTAAAGTTCCACGCGCGGTTAAAACACCGGTGCGGCCATAGCCTGTTTATCACTTTGTACAATATTTGTTTGGATGTTTTATACGAAACTACCGATATCTGCTGTAAACCTGTCCATTTCTCAATATTTCCAGGTCAAATTCTTTTGTTTTTCTCTTGTTGGAAGTCGAGTTTTTAAATTTTAAAGTTTCGAGGTATGACGTCGTAGGCGATTCTAGTTCCCCCTATGAAAAACACTAGGTCCCGGGTGAGATGAATAAAACCAACCAATCAAAGGTTTTTATAACTAGGTTAACTATAAATAGCTTCTATAATATGTGCGGGACACTGTACATACGATAGATAAGGCTAATAAAGCAACCTGAGAGGTGGATAGGGTGGCCGCAGCTTGGGTGTCGATTACGGTGGTTTCACATCGCTGCGTAACCAACGACTTGAGCTAGACTAGCCTAGTTCTAGATGCTCTATATTTCAAGCTAAGCCTGGAATCTGCATAATTTCTATTTTTTTCTGTTGTTTTAAATTATTTCGATCATCTACTTCTTCTAAATCTAGTTTGTGTCTCTACATACAAGCATATCTAAGCAAATGTTACGTTATGTCTTGTTAGTGATTGTTACGTCCCTTTGTTATGATTATTATAGTTGCGTCCCTTGAGTCATCACTGGGTCAACTTTTAATGTGTCGTTAATTAATTTAATTAGGCCTAACATGTTTTTTTATTTGGTTTTGCAATCTATTAATTAATAATACAATCAACAACACGTTTAAAAGTGTAAAATATTTATTTTAGTTATTAAAATTTGATTAAAACGTATAAAATACGATTGTTACGCTAGCCAGTCCAGGTGGCAGCAGGAAAAAAAAAGAGGGGAAAAATATCGCAAGTAGCACTTCACTAAAACATGAATCTCAAATTCTATGCGTAGGAACATAAAATGATTGATACATATTAAGAGTAGAATGGCAGAGGAATAATATAGAGGAGTTTACACTTTTCGGACACACACCAAAAATTACGTAGGAGCGAACACTTCGTCGGTTTTTGGCTCATAGAAACTTTAATTAGCATGTCTCACGCGAAACCACGGCGCCTGCACGTAAACTGTTCATTTATGAACACTTCCGTGTCAAGTACTTCCGTTTCCTTTCTCAAGAATTATTTTTAGAAATTTTTTAACGTTGCATGGTACGCACATTTCTATTTTTACACCAGCCGGATGAAGTGACCTAGGGTTGGACTTAGGGGCAAAACTTGAACCAATCAATGCTTAGCTAAAAGGTTACACTATAAATAGCTTCTATATATGTATGGAACATCGTAAATGTCAAGGTTAATGGGTTTTTTTGTGCTTGAACAATAAAAAAGGGGTGTTCGCTAACTTATTTGGCCTTACATGGGAGCAGACAGCAACACAAAAATATTATTAAATAAGAATTTAGAGCATAAAAGGGGCTGGTTATTGAAGGGAAAGGGTCAAAATAAGGTCAAGAAGGCAGTGGAATGCGAAAGAGGAGGGGGAATCATGTGACCTGGCTTGCTTAGCAGCGTACTGCGCGAGCCGCAATGGCTGAATGGGATGAACTTTGGGAGTGTGGGAAAAAGGTTTTATACTATTAAAATTACCTCACAAACAATCAATAACACAATATAAATGCATATAATATATGTTTTTATTCATTAAATTGACTTTAAATTATTCTAAATGAACAAAAAGTGCTATGTCAGATGACGGGTAAAGGTGTCCGAACACATGTAAAACTGTATTACATGTGTTCGAACACACGTTAAGACCCCCCAGTCACTATAACAAGAATAGCTTAAGTTCTATGCGTATGAATACAAAATGACACACACATTATTAAAGTAGAATGGTTGCGGATAGATATGATACTTTTTTTTGTTTTCTATGTTAAGCGGTTACTGAATGAGACTGCATGGAATTTTTACGTTGCGTTTTTTCGCTATGTGTGTCCGAAAAGTGTAAGCTCCTCTAGTACTTTGAGTTTGTTTCTGTGTTAAACGTTTACAAAATAACGCCCGATAAAAGTTGGGAGTTTGCTATGAGACTATGTGAATGTGTGATCGGCTGTGGAACTTCACTAATAGGCATTTCGACTTCCGCTGTTACGATTCGGTACGACCACATCCTGACTTTTTCACCGTACTTGTTGAAATTCGCCATTTTTTAACATGTTAATTCTCGCCATCGGAATCGAAGAATAAAATGTATTCGATATGAATATTTGAGTTGAATTTCATCTTTTATACATACTAATAAATGAATTAGCTCCCGTTTTACATTGTCCGATACCGAAAGCGATCACAGATAATAGCAAATATTTGTCGAAATGCCGACGCTACTGAACTGGCGCATTGACAACTAAATTTCAGATATAAATAATCCTCTAAATTGTATGACAATAGGCTTAAATAGCGTGCCAACCATTTGGATAAATAGAAATGTCGATTTGAAGGGTTTTTAAGCATGGGCCAATGAGGAGTAGCGCGATAAAACTCGTAGGGGTAGGAACGAGAAAGCGTGCGTAATTTCATAATGGCGGCCGGGTTACGAGATATTAATAGATATGCGCAAACGATGTTTTTTAATAGCTGTTTGTTTTTAAATGGACTGTTACAATAAAATGGGCTTTAAAATATATACTGTAGATCTAAATTATTAGATTAAAAATGGAAAGAATGTAATTAGGCCTAATTGCTGCCTAAATAAATTATAAAATTTTAAATTAGCCAGATTTTTATTAACCTTCTTAATACCAGGTTAACTAGATCTAGCAAACTAGCATTAATGAATTGCAGATAAATAGATTATAAAGGCATTTTCAAGTAGAAAAAAATCTATATTTATTGTAAACAGTTTTTAAAAAAATAGAATCTAGATCTAAATGGAAATGAAAACACTAAAATAATAATGGGTCTAGAGATGTGTAATAATATATATATATATATATATATATATATATATATATATATATATATATATATATATATATATATATATATATATAAACTATTAGGCCTTAATGTAAATACTGACAGGCCTATCTGTAGTATCTAGATCTATAAAGTACTATAAAGGGCCTAAATTAAAAATAATAATGCCCAATTTTATAAGCTGCACTGCATTACAGTTTTAGTTATAGGCAACTATAATAGAAAGAAAACATGAACACTTTAATTAATGTCATTTAAGAATTTATCAAAGGATACGTCAACTCCACTAAACATTTTATAAATAAGAATACTGTGAAATGTCAATCTTTGAGTTTTAGCACACCTCAACACTTTTCATCAGAAACATTACAAGAACCAAAATTTTCTAAATTAATAATAACATTTTTACCATGTTATACAATATACACTGACACAAATCCAATGCTTATGGCAAATCGTTAAGTATCTTGATCATATTGTGCTGTATTTGACCTTCAAGTTCTAACTCTATACATTACCTGTACAATATGTGTACTAGCATTCTTATTACTAACACCAGAATCAATATGTAAAGTTTAATCTTTATTTTTATAGTAGCAACAAAGAAGTGCAACATATTAGCCTGTAGTTGATCATCATAGTCTAATTGCGCTGTACCATATTCAAGTTCACTATTTATAGTTTTCCTCTAGCTATGTTTATTTTACTTGCATGATTGTATTTTTTACATGCTCTAGTCCTAATATATAAAGTTTCATGATGGTATATGGAATAGCAACCTAGCTGTGCAGTCTGGAAATCCTCTTATGGCAGTCACTATAGAACAGTGCCACACCCCTTAATTTAACTTCATTATTTCTAGTTACCTCTTTTCTAATTTTTATTTTATTTGTAGACTTCTATTGCCTATATCATTGAGTACACAAGTGCAAAGTTTTATCATTATATCTTTAATAGCAACATTGGTATGCAAGTTTAAAGCCAATCACACGTCTCGAATGCAGGTTACAATGAAACATAACAAGTTAAACACTTAACTTTGAAAATTCATATAAAAAAAACTATTAGGCCTAGAATGATAAATTTGATATTTTTATCAATGGGGTATATTATAGGATTAATCTGGGTCCATTCTATCATTCTATGATAAATAGGAAAAATTTCCCAATAGGCCTATCACTAATCTAGTCCTGATTCGATCTAACCCACCCAGCATCTGGATCAAAGTACTTGAACCTACTCGTCTACTTCTATACTAGAATCCAGTCTATAACTACTCTAGATTCTAGGTATAGAGTCTAGAATCTAGATCTAGTCTAGAATCTACTTAATAGATCTAAATCTAGATCTGACTATGACGACGTCCTAACACCGTCCTACTCCTAATCAATTATCGGAAATAGGTCATCTATACAATTACGTACTGTATAAAGCTTTTGTTACACGTATGCAATCAGGAAAATAAACTAAGTGTGATCTTACCTGTTTGATATACATTTTGGAAGCAGTAAATTTTCAAACCATTGAGCAATAACAATGCTAAGTAATAGAAAAACTGTTAGACCAATGTAAACAAACAGTACTACTTGTTACGGGAAGCCATCGCAAATGGCGGCAAATATTACCATAATAATCAGATAGGTATTTAAAACAAAAATCATTCCATATTTTTTTTTTAAAACAAACACAATAATAAGCATTATTTACTTTTAAAAACAATAAAGATCAGAAAAAATAATTTTACTGAAAAACACTAATTCTTTATTATGCTTATTTATTAAAAGTTTGCAATAAAATGTTTATACCGTAAGCGACTTTTTTTTTATTCGTAGGCGGAGTCAAAAATAAAAGTAGCCTATGGTTAGACCCATAGCCTAGAGTAAAATTTACAAATCCCAACCCTTAATATTTCAGTTTGACATTTAGACTGCCGAACCGAGTCATAAATGTAAATAATTTGTAAAAAAAATATTTGGAATCAAATACTTTCGCATAGTGTTTTGTATAAGTATAGAGTAAAGTGTGTAGGTCTACATGTTGTTACTGAAAATTTAGCTGAAAATAATAAAACTGTCGTATCCAGAAACTGTTACATTAAATACTTTCTTGTAGCTATGTCTATACTTTGGTACCCCATCGGAATCTTCGAGTTGCAGTCTAGTAAACCCCCTCTACCTCCTCAATCCGCTACCTACCAACAGAAATCTCTTCGAGGGTCGTCATTTATTGGTTGGACTAAATAAGACAATATGTGACCAATGTTACTTCCAGACTTTTTTCTCAGGGGGAGGGGGGCACTTGATATTTTCGGGGGAGGGGCGGACACTAGTAAAAGTATACGTTTTCTATATAAATTCAATCTCGTTCGGGAGGGGCGGTAGACTTTCTTCGGGGAGGGGGGGATAGTCCTCCCCCCCCCGAAGAGATGCCTGAAAGAAACCCGCTGATCTCGATTGGGAAGGTCTAATGTTTCTATTTAAAACAAAAAAAAACACTGTAAAATTTCGACAAGGATTTCGTCCAAAGCTAACCTGGATATCAGCACGGCGTAGTTTTTTCTGATACAAAATCTGAATGATGGGCCCATGGCTAGAGAAGAGTTGGCAGACAAAATAAACCTTGCAACATTTTTTTTATTGAAACCATCTACTTTAAATTTGTATAGTGGGCTATAAATGTCGATTATTTCTTTTTAAATGTTTTTTGGCTTGCATTCCGACAGAGGCGTAGCGACCCTTCCCGGCGCCCGGGGACAAACTTTCAACTTGGCGCCCCCCCCCCCCCTCGGGAACAAACCTTTCAACTTTCAATTTATACCCCCCCCCCCCTTCAAACTTTCAATTTGCACCCCCTTCAAACTTTCAATTTGCACCCCCACAAACTTTTAATTTGTTTTTCCAACCCATTTTGGCGCCCCCTAAGGTCGGCGCCCGGGGACATGTGTACCCCCCCCCCCCCCGGCCGCTACGCCTCTACATACCGGTCTTTAAAAGCAGCATCTCGGAAATAACCTTTGCAATAATAAATATAGAAACACTTTCATAGTAACTATCTTCTTCATCAAAGAAGAAAAATATTATAACTATGAAATAACTGTAAATGAAAGCGGGGGTTACTGAATGGTGTAATGAAAATTTTGGAAATTCGCAAGAGAGTGTCTTAATTGTCTAAACACAAACAGGTTCACATACGATTGCACTATTTACAGGTACTCTGTTTCAAAAAGCTAACAGCATTGATGTGTAAAGGGGAAGGGGGTAGAGCCTACATAATACATTCATAGAAAGAAAAAAAAACTTCCAGTCGGAAAATGTTTTACTTTTTCTACTTTCAATTTTTCAAAAGCCTATAACTTGAGTACTATTTGAGATAGATAAATGAAATTTCACATGCAAGTAAAAAATTTGTGTAATATCTGTTGACTGGAAGTAGTAATTTTTGCTATTTCCGATTTCTCAAAAAAAACCGCATGTAAATTTATAAAGTACTAATAATATTCCGCACTATTATACACATTTTCTTTTGCGTTCACTTAGTGTGCAATTATTTTTTCTACAAGATTCTTCTATGCTATTTTAAAAAAGTTTAACTTAAGTAATTAAAAATCATGTCTATATCCCGAGTTGCTATCCTCCGTAGTGTTATATAAGAATATTCGAGAAAGTTTAGGGGAGATCACTCCCGGTTTTTTTCTTCGAGATTCTTCTATGCTATTTTTTAAAAAAAGTTTTAGTAATTAAAAATCATGTCTGTATCCCGAGTTGCCATCCTCCGTAGTGTTATATAAGAATATTCGATAAAGTTTAGGGGAGATCACTCCCGGTTTATTTTGTTTTGCTTTTGGTGTTATATGGTTAAATTAGAGAATGTGGGAAAGTCTCCCTCTGAGGGCGGATCTCTGAGAAAGCGTTTACGTTTGTGTTTAAGATTGAGTTTACGTAATTGAGTTTTGTGTTTGCGTTTGTTTGCGTTGGTGTTTTTACCGTGTGTTTGTATTGTGTTTGCGTTTTCATGTTGTGTAGCGCTTATGTGTGCATTGTATATATGCGTTTGCGTTTTGTTTGTGTTTGCTTTTGTATTTGCGTTTGCGCTGTGTTTGCATTTTTGTTTGAGTTTGCGTTCGTGTTTTCTTTGTGTTTGTACACAAATACATACACACACGGCCATTATTACAAAGCCCAGTTTTTACGACTCAATTACGCCGAAACACGACGAAATTTTGAAAGGTCATGTAATTTTTTAGCATGATTACAATACTTTCTCTATATTCTGAATACAAGAAAGTAAAAAACTCATATTAAAAGTCTGTAAGTGCGCAAATCAAATAATAGTGAAGCTAAGTTTGTTCCTTGGAGATCCGCCACTTAGTCTTAGATAAAATATATTTAATTTCTAATCTGTTCTCCTCGTGCATTAGAAGTGAACTTCTAATGCATGATGTCAGCCATTTGTGTTAAGTGGTCGAGGTTATTTAAGGGAGTTAAGAACCCTTACGTTGAGGTCCTACTTACCACTCGTAACTTAGCCTAGATAAATCTTCGTTGTTATTTATCTAGCCGGTCCCAAGCCCGGAAATAAAAAGAAGGAGGGATACAGTGGAGTAGGCAGGGAGAGCAGTGTTTTTTCCAGACTTTTTCTCCGGGGGGGGGGGTGCACTTGAAATTTTTGGGGGGCGGGGCGTTAGACTTTCTTTGGGGGGGGGGGGGGCGGACACTGTTAAAAGTATATATTTTCTATATAAATTATATAAATTTCATTTCGCTCGGGGGTGGGTACCACTTCCTGTTATTAGAAATCTCTCAAAAGTTGATACGGATCTACGATTTTGATAAAATACTTATATATGAAATTCCATCAACCTAGCTGTAACGGTACTCAAGTTATCGTGCTTACACACAGACAGACAGACACACACAGACATACGGACAAGATTACAAAATTATGTCTTTCCGTATCAGTGAGGTGTAAAACGTCGAGATTTGTAAAAATCTCGATTTTTTTTTTTGCACGATTGCAAGACTTTCTCTATACTTCGTATATACGAGAAAGTAAAAAAAAATTTCATAAAAAACGTTTTAATAACACTTTTTTATGTAATAATGCACTAAAAAGTAGAAAATAAATTATAGACTACTATTTAAATTACTATAAAGAAAAGCGTGGGTGTCTTCCTTAATATAAGTAAAGGTATCCAATAGATACTAAAGTGATCCACGCTTTTCTTTATAGTTATTTAAATAGTAGTCTATAATTTATTTTCTACTTTTTAGTGCATTATTACATAAAAGCTTGTTATTAAAACGTTTTTTATGAAAAAAAAATTTCAGTACTTTATATGTTTTATTTACAATAGAGTTACATGACTAAAAACCATTGCGCGCCTACTGAACGTGATGGCTCGCCTACTGAAGGTGATGGCGCAGCTATTGAACGTGATGACGCATGTGGTGTGGTTGGATAGACATGCCTATTGATTCGGTCCAAATTTTAATTAATTCATAAAAAATTAATTAGGCATCCAATTAAGTCAAATTTAATTTCAGATTGCATTGTCTTCATGTCTTGACCCACGTGCCAAATGTGAATCGTATCGGTCAAGTAGAAGTGTCCGAATTTTCACTCCAGCATTTCGATCTAGACAGACAGACTGACGACTGTCGACTGACGACAGAAGAAGCGAGTTAAATAAAAGCTTGTAAAAAAAGCGGCCCCTTCCCGAATTAAATTTTAAAGTGCATTTCCCCCCATCCAAACCTGACAACCGATGCCTACAGAATCCTGGAACATTTTACAACTTTGCAATATAGGCCTACAATGAAAACAAAACGTCCAAGCGAAAGAGTCAATTTAAATAAAGAAATTTTTTTAAATAAATCAAAGCACTAATGGGGTCATCAATAAATGACGTCACGCTTTTTTGACGATTTTTACCTACCCCTCCCCTCCGTTACACATCGTCACAAAAAGCCAGATCGAAATTGTAAAAAGCCATTTTGAAATAAGTACTTGCCTACAGAGGCGTAGCGACCCCTCCCGGCGCCCGGGGCGAACATTCAGTTTGGCGCCCCGCCAAATATATATATATATATATATATATATATATATATATATATATATATATATATATATATATATATATATATATATATATATATATATATATATATATATATTTATATGTGTGTGTGTGTGTGCGACAGTCTTGAAAAAAATTAATAGTTACGCTGTATGATTGTCGTTCCCTAAAACTTAACATCAATTAAATTCCCCTTAAGATGCATTATCCTTTAAAGATGATGATTAGTTATGTCAGAAAAAAAAATATTGTAGCGGTACTAATTCGTTTAGGACAGTCTTTTTATTTTTTATCTTTGGAACAGTCTCTTTTATGATATAGTATACGAGCCGACCAGCGGCATATCATACGCCGCTATTTAGTTGTTTTATTTTCTACTTTTCAGTAATTCATAATTTGTGAATTCGACAGTACCAATGCTGCCACTGAAAATATCTGCTTTAAAACACTATCAGTAGGTCCTTAAGGACGATACTACCCCCACCCTCCTTTCCCCCAACCCCTACCCTACACCCCCCCGTGAAAGCAGCCTCCTCTTAGTTACCTCCCCTAAGTTTAAAATCGTTTCAAACTAAATTATCTGCCCCTAATAGTCGTCACTAAACCCGGCTCTACGAATGTAAACATTTAGCGTGAACCAAAGCTCACCAGACCTTGTAGGGGTGGGGTGGTGGGGAGCGCTCTTAAAGCTTGTTTTCTAGTGTCTCCTAGAAGAGAATTATATATATATATAGATATTTGGATTATAAGTTTGTTAGATTAAGGTCATACAATTGACATACATTAGCAAATTATTGTTCACATTGGAATACGATATGGGTATTTCGTTGACTGGTTGATTGTATAATAAATCAAGCTAGAGGAAAAAACATTTCTTTTCTAAGTGTTAAAAGAGTTATCTAGTAACCGATCCAGTACAAATCCTGCGATTTTTGTTGGTGAAAAAGCGCCCCCCCCCCCCACTTCCCCACTATCTTGGACAAAAATGGTAGAGCTAATTTTAAACGTCACTAACTCTTGTTTTTATGTTACACAATGGTAAAACACGATTTAGTTCCATGGGCTCTTTTCTGGGTGATATGGGTTATTTATTCCTTAATTTTTCCGATTTTAGTCTTCGAAAAAGCGCCCCCCCCCCTCCATCTAGGAAAGCTGGAAAGCAGTTTTTCCGGTCACTGTTTCTTAAGGATATACCTTTTACAATTACTCAATCAACGTAGAAAACAGTTAAATCAGTATGCAAAGGCTCTCAGCCGTTAAATTTCTTTACTTTAACCGTTTAGAATTCAAAACTGCAGCTTAAAATGAGCTTGTAAATTTTTTTTCTACCCCTTTTGGCGCCCCCTTAGGGTCGGCGCCCGGGGCGGCCGCCCTCCCCTAGCTACGCCTCTGCTTGCCTAACACTGTAAAATAGATACGACAAGAAAATCATCATGTTGCTTTTGGACATGCAGTTTATTATTCGTATTGATAATTCTAAAACTACTATAAATTAAAATGCTGATTTACAATACATAATTTTCAATGGATTTTATTAGGGTAAATAAGATATACATAACAAAAGTTAAATTCACTGATAAAATCTGCTTGTTCATATCAGTGTTATCCCTAAGTAATTAGTCTGTTTTCATTTTACTGTAATTGATAACATTTTACTACAATTTTCAACATTTTTGCATTTGTTGTGCTAACTAGCTATGTTATTGCCATTGTTTTAAACCATCATTTGATGCGGACAAGAGCGTGTAGCTTTAATACACCAGTCTGTCAACTATTTTACACACTTACTAATCATGTTTAAAATATATGGTAATTATGTTTTAGATACATAATAATAATATGGCTACATAGTCTAATAGACCATTGAGTGATTGCGTGATGGGAATCCATGCACAAAGCCTGGGCCTGAAGTTGAGAAGAGCTAAATGTTGCCCACGTATCAGCCCCCCCCCCCCTCTCTCCACACGACTGAACGACCCAAGGGACATGTTATATAGGCTATATAACTTGGAATAAGCTGTGTGGCCGGAGCTGCCGAAAGGAAACCGGATACATACTAATTATGCTTTAAATTTAAATAGACCTACATACTAATTATGTTTTGAATAGGCTTACATAGTGTTTTAGACACGTACTAATTATGTTTGCTGAAATATCACATATAGATGCTAAAGTATCACATGATGTAACATTCCTGTTTTCTTAATGAATAACCACATTTTGTTTGCCATCAAAACCAAGCTTTTTCCTTTATCCTTAGTCATCAAACATGATGTTGCGTAGGAGGAAAGCAAACAGAGTTGTTATACCAACAATGTTAGTTCCTGTGGATTAAGGAAATTAGTCATTATCAAAAGATCTGAAGCCTTCATTCAGTGCTGAACAACATTTGTTACCAAAACAAATTTATTGAGAAAAACCTAACATGATTTCAGCCAGTTTAACGTTGAGAAAGACCTAACTAAATATATTTTTTTCCCCGACGAGTCAATCGAATCTAGGCAAACATTTAACACTAGCATTGTGATATTACCTTTGGTAAGTTGATTGTTTCCATTGCTTGAGAACTGAACGGAAATCGGGTTCCAGTTATCTGTTCGGGAAAATTTATGTTAGTGTTAGCTTTTTTCTTTTTTGTTCTTATTTCTAGTGATGGAAATAATTCCCTCCGACACTGGTTATGCGCCACCTAGGCCGTTAACTCCGATTTCAGCCTGCTTTATTATTTTGGATTTCCATAGCCTTTTTCCAACCAAGAACAAACTACAAGGCAGCAGTTGTTTGATTTTGGAGTTGTCTCTCCTAGATATCGAGCCTCATCTGCCCGAGGGCTCGAGACTTTTCGGTATTGTCCATTGATTCTGCATTGAAGAAAGTGATAATTTCACCTACAGTAGTTAGCGCCTCTTATATATAATTTTAAAATATTACATTATATTATGCAGTTACGTAAAAAATAAATCAACAAAGATTAGTTGTGATGTGTGTTGTTTTGTATTTTGTTTAATGCGATGTATAGTTAGAGTTATGTATTGCTAATGTAAGTTTATAAGTATATATATATATATATATATATATATATATATATATATATATATATATATATATATATATATATATATATATATATATATATATATATATATATATATATATATATATATATATATATATATATATATCGCTCCTCTTCTGTACTTGGTGCTCTTCCTAATCCGACTAGCTGCATGCGCATATTGTGCTACCCAAGGAAATTCGGAAGGAGTGACTTGGGTTAAAACAATTTTTAAAAATATTTTTAAGGTTTGTAATTTATAATTGTCATTAAGTCTCATAACATTCACTATTATCAGCAAAAAAAACTCAACATATAAACTTGTTAGATTAGCTGTACAGAATACTTCCTACTACCATACCCAACATTGCAGGTTTTCAGAGGCGTAGCGACCCTTCCCGGCGCCCGGGGACAAACTTTCGATTTGCACCCCCATCAAGATTTCGATTAGCACCCCCTCTCAAACTTTCGATTTGCACCCCCCTCAACCTTTCAATTTATTTTTCCAACCCATTTTGGCGCCCCTAAGGTCGGCGCCCGGGGACATAAGTCCCCCCCCCCCCTTCTCGCTACGCTACTGCAGGTTTTAAAAGATATATAACGCATATAGTTTATTAGTTACATTCACCTGGCTTGGTGGTTGAGTCAAATATATTGCTTGTAGAAACAATAGGGAAAGCCGCAGGCCATTTTCCATCCCAATTATTAGTCCCTATAATAGTGACCTGATACATTGCATCTTGGTTTGGATAGAATTCGATTAAGAGTGGGTTTTGTCCAGAGCATCTGCAAGCTGAGTTGAGATTTGCGCATGGTTGGCATAGAAACCTACTTGTAGCACACATCTGAAACATCACATTTTATCATCATCATCATCATCATTCAGGTGCACCCTTTGTGGTACATCGGTACGCAACCTCACGTAATAGTAAATTAACTACCCCCCCCCCCTCACGCATATCATCCTCTCATTCACGATATCAAACAATTTGTATTAAAATAAAATATACAACACATATGCGTTACAATAATCTTACGGTCTTCCAGTTAGATCCACTGTCAATAGAGGACTGAATAAAAATGTAAACACAGTTCCTAAACCTTGAGTCATCGGGCCCATTGAATGTGACGCTTCCAACGATCTTTCCAGTGTAACGACAACCTGGATCCTCACATTGTTTTTGAAAGCCATCAATCTTGGAGACCACTGATTTATTGCAGAGTACAGTACCTTTTATTAAAAAAAAAAACAGATACATTCAGTAAAGTTTAAAGGGTTGGATTGGTTGATTTGATCCCACTTATTTAGGTTGTTTTGATTGGAGATTGTTTTTATTATTTCAGTAATGAGATTGAATATATAAAACTTGGCACTGAGATGGATTGCTGATTAGTTCACTTGTCTAAACTGAGTACTCGATATATCTGCAGTATTTTATAATTTAGTTCTTTAAATAAAAATGCGGTATGAGTGAGTGAGATAGCAAACTGCGACGCATGTTGTTTGCCTCCCCCCCCCCCCCAACAAGGAAGAAGCATCACCATGACAACGTAAAATGGACGAAAAATGCGCATAACTAAGCTACAAGCAAACATTTTCCCCCCACAGTGATTATCGTCAAACAGCTACAAAACAGCACGTAAATATGGGTGAATGTATGCTAAAAAAATAATTTAACCATAAAACTTTTAAAGTTTTAAATGTACAGTTTTCTAAAATATAAACAGATTTTTTTTGGAAAAATAGGTTAAAAGCTGCATTAACAGTTATATTTATATATGGTTATAAACGGCTGAGCGAAGCCTAGCAAATAATAGCTAATGTTTATATATTTAATTGTATCTTATGGGGTTATTGCTCATCAGAAGAGGGGAAGTAAGCAACATGCAGGTTTCCGCTAAACGGCTTGACTATGATGCTTATTATATTTGCGTAACGAGCCATGATATCAAGGAATGGCAGTTAATGTGTAGATTAATTTTTAGAATCACGTCCTCTTGCTGTTTTGAGTGTTATGTTCTTTAATTATTCTTAAAACATTTTGTAAACAAAAGTACATATACACATTTGGACACACACACACACACACATACATATATATATATATATATATATATATATATATATATATATATATATATATATATATATATATATATATATATATATATATATATATATATATATATCAGTGGCGTAGCGGGGTCGGGTGTCACCCGGTGCGGCACTTAATGGTGTCACCCCCCCCCCCCCCCAGAGGCGTTGCGACCCTACCCGGGGACAAACTTTCAAGTTTTCGATTTGCACCTCCCCCCTTCAAACTTTCGATTTGCACCCCCCCCCTTAAGTTTCTCTCTATATATTTTGCTATTTTTTGCCATGGTGTCACCCCCCTAAATGGTGTCACCCGGTGCGGTCAGAGTTTCTTCCAGGCATCTCTTCGGGGGGGGGGGGGGCAAAGCCCCCCCGAAAAATTTTTACCGCCCCCCCGAACGAAATGAAATTTATATAATTTATATAGAAAATATATACTTTTAACAGTGTCCGCCCCCCCCCCCCCGAAGAAAGTTTACCGCCCCCCCCCCGAAGATTTCAAGTGCCCCCCCCCCCCCCGGAGAAAAAAGTCTGGAAGAAACACTGGGTGCGGTCCGTACCCCCCGCCCCCTCGCTACGCCCCTGATGTATATATATATATATATATATATATATATATATATATATATATATATATATATATATATATATATATATATATATATATATACTGCATAATGAATACCCTATCAGTACATACCCAAGAGACTGACAATATAGATAAGCATAAGTACTGAATTAACAATGTCCATTTTCTTGGTGCTGGGTGCTAACCTGAAAAAGATAATCATGGCATGTTGTTATTTGATCATCTGTTTAATTAATTCCATGCGCTTTCCTTTCCAACCACGCACACCCCATATATGGTTGTTCACACTTCCGTGACCATTTAACTGCGATTTCAACGGAAAGAAATCTCTGTGTAAGAATTGTTTTTCGTGCTATCGTTTACTTAAACCTTTGATTCTGTAATAAGCAACGGGTTAGAACTAAACTTGAGAAAGTAAGCCCTTTTTACCAGCAGACATTTTTAAAAACTCTTTACTCCTTATAGATCTAAATGTTAGGTTGTTTTATTAGGACGTTACTTCTAGATCTACATATAGATTTCTAGATCCAAAATCGTTTTATAAAAATTAAAGAACAAATAATTACTTTGAAATACATATAACAGCTAGCTAACATTTAAAGGTAATGGTCCTTAAGTTTACACATATCTTTTACTTTGTTTTCAAGTATAAAACTGATTAATGTTTTAATAATTTTTGACACATGCTTCCATCCTGCTTATGGTATTGAAGGCATCATTATGTTCACCATGTTCCGTACAGTAACAATTGCACTCAGTATTGTTTTGGGATTCCCGTTTTGAAAATGCATCAAATGTATAAAAAATTTTAAAATAAAAAACGTTTAATAACAAGCTTTTATATAATTATGCACTAAAAGGAGAAACAAGTTAATTAAAAAGTCTAGTGACATTTAAGCGCAATTTCCTTATGTTATCTAAAAATAGCTTTGTCGTAGCGTAAATCAAGAGCAGGGTTAGTAAAACCATTGGTTAGTTATTAAAACGTTTTTTATTAATTTTTTTTTCAGCATTTTACATGTTTTATTTACAATAGAGTAACATGACTAAAAACCATTGCGCGCCTACTGTACGTGATGACGCAGCCTTGAACGTGATGGCGCAGCTATTGAACGTGATGACGCGTGTGGTGTGGTTGGATAAATATGCCTACTAATTCGGTCCAAATTTTAATTAATTAAAAAAAAATTGTTGTGACCGAACGAAAGGATATTTTTGAAAACTTTCTTCGACAATATTGTTCTAAATTATGGCAGGAATCGATAGGTAAATGTTTCAAGTCGCTAAGTGGTCTGGTTGCCGAGATATGGGCCAAAAACTGCTTTTTTTTTCGAGTTTTTTTGGCTTTTCCGGGAAATCCATGAAAGAAACCCGGAATTTTTATGGCCTATGTTCATCCTCGTAATTTGCTTAACATAATTGCTTTTGGAACTAGTCATCGATATTGCTTCGTTGAGGAGGAGATACGACTTAAAGCTGCGGACACACATCCATCCATCCATCCATTCATTCATTCATACATCCAGAAATGACGGGTTAATAAACGCAATTCTCCAGAATGGAAATTGCGCTAAAAATAACGCACCACTATTTAAATTACTATGAACAAAAATGTGGGTTGTGCATTAAATTTTAGCTGCCTTTACTTTCCCAGACTTGGATTTAGCACCCATCAGATCTGGGAGGACGCAGGAACGTTCTTTCTACTAACTTAAACCCGGATTCGAACTCGAGATTTTCTGGTTAGCAGTCCAGTGCTCTACCGCTATATATATATATATATATATATATATATATATATATATATATATATATATATATATATATATATATATATATATATATATATATATAAGGTCGAAATTATAATAATGACATAGTAGTGTTTGTGCAACATTGAAAAAATAGATACGAACAACACCCAGCTACTTTTTGACATGCAATTTATTATTCTTTTATTGATAATTATTAATCTATCACAGAAAAAAAATGATAATTAACATACGTATGCCCGATTATTGTAAATAATTTACATAACAAAAAGTAAATAACTGCTTGTTTTTAAATGCTTGTGTGGTTTGAGTGTCTTGTGTTTATTTATATTGTACATTATTTATAAGTTATAACACGAGTACACATTCTGCCGTTGTTTAAGTTTAAAACATCTTCTGATGTGGAACAGTGTGTAGCTTTAAAGCAACAATCAATCTAGTGTCTCAGATAGGCCTACATACTAATTATATATCCTAAATTATATTTGAACGCTAAACACTGGGCATAAAATTGAATCAATGTTTCATATTGTCACATTTTGTTTCATAACAAAGCCAAGATTGTTCCTTTATCCTTTATGTGAAACAAATCCTTATTCATCAAACATGATCTTGCGTAGGAGGTAAGCAAACAGGGTTGTTATACCAACGATGTTAGTTCCTGTGGATTGTGTACATAATTTATTCTAACGTATTTAGGCTACACGGAACTAAGATAAGATAGAAAACATAACATAAGCATTCACACATTCCTAAACCACATTTGTTATCAAACAAACCTCAAAGATTAAGATAATTTTTATCGACGTGATTGTGTTACCTAGCGGTAGTGAGCTAGACTGCTAACCTGGAAGTCTCGAGTTCGAATCCGGGTTCAGTGAGTCCACCCATCTTTGATGGGTGCCTAACTCACGTTAATGGAAACAAAGGCGACTGGGCATAGTGCTGACCCCATTATCCCATTGTACGCTGAGGTAATTGAAATAGATGAACTCTACTTCATCTACAACGTTAAGAAAATTGTTTATAATTACAAAGTAACCGAAATATGCGGGGCATCCATGACGTCACACTAATAGGTACTTAAGAGGGGGGGGGGGGGTGGCGGACCTCAGTCAATGAATCAGGGAACAGAGTTTCTTCCAGGCACCTCTTCGGGGGGGGGGGGGCTTAGCTCCCCCCCCCCCCCCCCCCGAAAAAATTTTACCGCTCCCCCGAACGAAATGAAATTTATATAATTTATATAGAAAATATATACTTATATAAGTGTCCGCCCCCCAGAAGAAAGTCTACCGCCCCCCCCCCCCCCCCCCCGAAAATTTCAAGTGCCCCCCCCCCGGAAAAAAAGTCTGGAAGAAACACTGTCAGGGAAACTATTGTCTGATTGGATGAAACGAAATATACAATTCTTAAATAAACACACACCCGTCTTTTCGGCGCAACATAATTGGCTATCTTAAAAAATATAAAATATTATAAAATCAAACTTCTGCTTGACCGCTGTCTGGCTCTGTCATAATTTAACAAGGCACAGACCGGAAACACAGCCATATTTAGCTATGGTACTTCAGCACGTGTTTCCGGTTCAGTCCATTATCCAAACTTTGAATATCAGCGCTGTTATGATACCTCCAGTAAGTGGACTGTTTCCATTTGTGAATTGACCAGCTTTCTTTTCAACAGCAGTGAGATCTATATTTTCGGGACCATGAACGAAAATCGGATTCCAGTTATCTGTTTGAGAAGAATATTAAAATTGTAGGCAATTATAAAAAATTATAATTAAACAAATAAAGAGAAAATAAAACAAATATCTAGCAGTATATACCCGGGTATCAGATGAAATGGAAGGAAATGGTTGAGGCCTATGTTCCATAAGGAGCAAAGAGGTCTAAGCCAAGTAAGTCATATACCCGCGTATATCCGCTACAAAGTGAAAGAGAGGGGAGAAGGGGTTGATTTATAGAACAAGGCTAAAAAATGACATGGAAATGTAATCATTGAAAGGATTTATAACTTTAATAATAAACGTAATAAACGTATAACTTGACTGGCACATATGTAGCTACATGTTTTTATTTCCTGTATTGAACTATTAAGCCTGTAAGACCCGCTAACGTCAATTTAGAAAAGCTTGGTGGAGCATAGTTAACGAAGAAAACGGCCGTTTTTAGCCACAGGGCCTTTAAAAGATGTGGTAAGGTCGTTTTTGAAAAGATTTATGGTAATTTGGAAGGGGAAGTCACTCGCATTTTCCTCTAATTGTTTTCTTTAAAAACATTTTAATTTTTTATGTTTTATTCTTGACATTAACTTTCATTGTTTACATTATTTTCGCACATACCTCCTAATTGTGTTAAATATATATTTGAAATCATGTTCTTAAATTAGCAAGACCGATCACTCTTTACCACCTGTGCTTCCCGTCTAAAAAGTTATCTACCTTTAAATAGTTTACTAGAGTTACATTCACCTGGCTTGGTGGTTGCGTCAAATATATTGCTGGACAAATCCTTTATCAAAGTAAAGTTCCTAATTGGCTGTCCAGGTCCACTATACTTTAAAGTCGCGAAGATATCGATTCGATATTGTGAATCTTGGTATGGATAGAATTCAACGGAGACTGGGTTGAACCCAGAGCAGTTGCAGGCAGACTGGCGACGGCTACAACTGTCAGATGGGCAGATAACCATCATACACAACTGGAAGATAAAATTAACCAAGACATAATGCCAACAACTGGAACATAAAATTAACCAAGACATAATGCCAACAATTGGAACATAAAATTAACCAAGACATAATGCCAACAACTGGAAGATAAAATTAAATAAGACATAATGCCAACAACTGGAACATAAAATTAACCAAGACATAATGCCAACAACTGGAACATAAAATTAACCAAGACATAATGTCAACAACTGGAACATAAAATTAACCAAGACATAATGCCAACAACTGGAACATAAAATTAACCAAGACATAATGCCAACAACTGGAACATAAAATTAACCAAGACATAATGCCAACAACTGGAACATAAAATTAACCAAGACATAATGCCAACAACTGGAAGATAAAATTAACCAGGACATAATGCCAACAACTTTGAAGCCAATGTGAATAACTGTAATAAGTTCAAATTGTAAAAAAAAAGTAGCCTCCCCTAACAAAAACTGCAAATTAAGAACCCCCCCCCCCCCCACCCCCTCCTCCCCCAATGACATTTTAAAAATTGCTACACGTCTGGTTTATTTGGAGCCGTGTCCGTTTGTTAAAGACCTGATAAAACCGATTCAATATACAATTAGCTTATAATGTAGATTTAAATCGATTTTTTTTCGGAATATTTTGATCTGTTACTTTTAAACGCGAGACTCTAGTCAAAGTCTCTAACGTGACACTCAATGTCTACACGCACACTCTTTAATCTCTAACGTGAGATCCATGTCTAGACTCTAACGTGACACATATGTCTACAACCTCTCTAACGTGACACCTATGTCTACAATCTCTCTAACGTGACACATATGTCTACAATCTCTCTAACGTGGCACCTATGTCTTCAACCTCTCTAACGTGACACCTATGCCTACACTCTCTCTAACGTGACACCTATGCCTACACTCTCTCTGCCGTGACACCTATGCCTACACTCTCTCTAACGTGACACCTATGTCTACAACCCCTCTAACGTGACACCTATGTCTACAACCTCTCTAACGTGACACTCATGTCTACAACCTCTCTAATATATATATATATATATATATATATATATATATATATATATATATATATATATATATATATATATATATATATATACTTAAAACGTTTGCATTTTTAAATTATCCTAGCTGTTCATTTCATAACAAGATCGGCAACAGCTATTTTGCGTTCTTTAAATATTTTAGTTTTTCAAAACAAAAGCCCAGTTTGACGGCCTGGTAGCTTATCCCTAACATTAGCCCATGGCCAGGATCTACTTACAACATTCCATTTTGATGCTTTTACTCCTGAATTTCTGGACCGAACCACCAACAGAACGCAATCGTCTAACATCTTTAGATATTCTTCCTTGAATCTGACGCTTCCAACAATCTTTCCAGTGTAACGGCAACCTGGTTCTTCACATTCTTTTTGAAAGCCACCAATCATAGAGCCCAAAGATCGATCGCAGATAACAGTACCTTTTATGATACATTTAGGTTTATCAAAGTTTAAACGGCGGGTATGTTTGCTTCGATCCCACTTATTTAAGTTGTTTTGATTGGAGATGGTTTTGATTATTTCAGACTGAATATATAAAGCTTGGCACTGAGATGGATTATAACAATAACTGACACGTTCACTAGTCTAAACTGTGTGCTCGATATATCTACAGTATATCATAATTTAGACAAGTTCTTAAAATATAAATGCGATATGAGTGAGATAGCGAACTGCGGTGTATGTTGTTTGTCCCCATCCCCCTTAAACTGTCTGAAAGCAAAATTTGACCAAAGGCTGTATGCTCTCGACAGCACTATAAAATATTAAAGATGCATATACTTTTGATACACTGTAAACAGTATAAGTCACTAAATATGTAAACAAGTTTATTACTAAGTTAAATAAGCACTAAAATAAAACATTGAATTGGCTATTTGGATATATTAAAAAGCAATTTTTTTTACATATAAATTAAAACATTGATTGATTATACAATCAAAATTTGAGTTATCTTTTGCAAATATTTTATATTAATACTATCCACAGTTAACAATAGTAATGTATAATACTTATAAACGTAAAAGTTTATAATTGATTGTAGGCATTTTTGTATTTCGGGGGCGGGGGGCGAGGGGTCAACGTAGAGATGCCTGAAAGAAACTCTGTTTGACATCAATATTAGGCCAAACAACAAGGCTCGCCAAGGTTAGGTCTAGCCTCATGCTTTCTTCATGGCTGCTCTGCGTGTAATGGAATACATATAATAAACACCCTTTCGTTACGGGACAGGGCATTACCCCCCCCCCCCCGGACAGCGCCCTCCCCGAGGTTAGGTTTAGTATTAGGGCCAGGGTTAGGCTTAAACCAGTGTCTAGGGTTAGGGTTTGGTGAGGATTTAAGCTAAGGTGAATGTATATGTTTAGGCTTTTTCTTAAGGTTAGGATTAAGGTAATATATAGGTACAGCGTTGGAGTTAGAGTCAGGATTCTTGAACTTGGGGGAGGGGTACTTCCCCAGGGGTGTAATTGACATGGGGTAATTACTCCGGGGGTAATGTCGGGGATGTCGGGGGAGGTAAGTGACGGGGGAGGAGGTAATATCCTAGACCCATCGTTACATACCTAAGCAAATGACAATAAAGAGCAACGTCAACATTGAATTAACGATGTCCATTTTTCTTAGTGTTGGCCGCTAACCTGAAAAACACGGAAAGCAATACTTAAGTAACTAAATGACACCAATATTATTAGAGCATCTGTTGAATGTATTCAGTTGGTGTCCATATAATAGGCCCACACAGCCTTGAGTGGACTAACTGTGTCCAAGAGGCCCAGATTGAAATTTTCATCGTGCATCTTTTCTCCATCAAAGCCTGAAGGATTGGTGAAATATAATTTTTTTTAAACAAATCAAAACTTTATGGAACTATCACAGCGCCTTTCCTGCGCGCATACAGAGATTTATTCCCGGGGAACCACCGGTATTTTCCCGGTAGACCGGCGGGGCCTGTCCACTCCTCCACACAGGTGATGTACCTAATGGAGAGATGTAAATAAAATTATACAACATAGCACTGTGTCGCAGAAGCTGCCGAAACGAAACTAGAGTAGGTTAAGGCAGAGCACCACACCTATTTGATTTCGGAGTTTTCTCCCCTGGGTGTTTAGGCGTACTAGGTAAAGAATCACATCGCACACGGTACTTTTCGGGTTAGCAACCATGCGCTTTCCTGCCAGACAGAGTTTCTTCCAGGCATCTCCGAAATTTTTTTACCGCCACCCCCCCCCCCCCCCCCCCCGAACGAAATGAAATTTATATAATTTATATAGAAAATATATACTTTTAACAGTGTCCGCCCCCCCCCCCCGAAGAAAGTTTACCGTCCCCCCCCCCCCCCCCCCGAAAAATTTCAAGTGCCTCCCCGGAGAAAAAAGTCTGGAAGAAACACTGCTGCCCGACCGCATATCTCTGTGTAATATCGTTTTGTTATAATTCAGTTTCTTAATAACTATTGTTCATGTAAGCAGCGTTGTCTCTTGGTTAAAATTGGGAACGTACGTTATTTTACTTTTTGACCTATGTCACTATGTATGAATGCATGAGTAAAATGGCTTTTATTATAATAATAATGTTTTCTATATTTCTTCTAGATCTAGATATATCTACACACTGAATCTTTTAGTTATAATAATAACACTTATTTGAAATTATTTACTTTTTTCTCAGGTTCGAAGGTGATTGGTGTTTTAAATTAAATAAAAAGCTTCATTCTCCTTGGATTCTGAAGCCATCATTTCTCCACCCTTTCCCGTATACTAAAAGTTGCACTCAGTGTTGTTTGGGGATTCCCGTTTTTATTTTGGATATGCATAAATGCATACACCAAGGTTAAGAACAAAAATTCTTCAAATGCAAATGAACCACTATCGTGTGCATTTTGTACTACCGTGTTCTCTTATCCTGAAAAGTCTATGTAATCATACTAATTTAAAAAAAATGTTTTAAAAAATATGGCAAGCGATAAAGTTATAGTTACATTTGTAAAAATTAAAGCCGTTTGGGAACCTTAAATTACACTCATTTTTATATTTTTGTATCGAATATAAGCCGTTGAAAAGCCGTTTAGAATTATTTTATCAATTCAAATATTTTCAAAAACTGCCCTCGACCTCTCCTTGAAGTCAACCGGAAAGGCCAGGGAGAGTAAAACAATAAAAGTCAGAACAATTGTTTTCAATGATAAAATAAATACATAAAAACGTTTATAATTACAAGCTTTTATAAATGCACTAAAATACACAATAGTGATCTATGGTGTATAGCGTAGTATTGTATTTATATTAATTGGTTTGTATATTTAGAATTTGTGATGAGGTTGTCGCAATCCGTATGCTTGCTGACAGTGTTTCTTCCAGACTTTTTTCTCCGGGGGGGCACTTGAAATTTTCGGGGGGGGGGGGGGGGGCGGTAGACTTTCTTCGGGGGGGGGGGCGGACACTGTTAAAAGTATATATTTTCTATATAAATTATATAAATTTAATTTCGTTCGGGGGGGGGGGGGGGGGCGGTAAAAAAATTTCGGGGGGCTACGTCCCCCCGAAGAGATGCCTGGAAGAAACTCTGCTTGCTGATTTGATTTTTTTTTCCTAAGACAAAAGATTTTGTTTTTAAGGAAATCCCACTCCCATTCTACAATTCTTAACATTTAGCGTGAACCACAGCTCACCAAACCATGTGGGGGTGGTAGGGATATGCTTACAGAGGAAGAGATGGGGCTGCTAGGCGCGCTTACAGCTTGGTGTTTTCTAGGGTATCCAAGAAGAGAAATATATATATAGAAGATATAAGACAACGGGGGAGGGCAACTCCAGATATAGACATTATTTGTGATCAATTTTTAATTTCTTCCATTCTTAAAAATGTGATAGAACATGGTAGAACAAAGAATTGCGCATCAAGTGAACACCAAACAATGTGTGTATAATAGTGCGAAGTATGAGTTTTTCGAGAAATCGGATATAGCATAAATTACTACTGCCGGTACACGGAAATAAGTTAAAATTTGACAGAAACAAGTTATAAGCTTTTGAAAAACCTTAAGTAGAATAAGTTCCACTTTCGGTAACTGAAAAAGTTGATACAAATTTTATATAGTACTTATTTATGAAATTTAATAACCTAGCTGTAATGGTATTCAAGTTATCGTGTTCACAGACATACACAACCCAGTTTTTCCTACCAAAATTTCAATAAATCTGGATTTATAACTTTTGCCCAATTAAAATAAGTCCCCTATACTCCGTAATGATGGTGTAAAACGGTGAAAACTGTCAAAATTTCATGTGATTCGTGCAAGATTACAGTATTTCCTTTATACTGTCTACAAGAAAGTAAAAATTCTTTAAATACAAATGAACCACTGTATACATTGTAGAGGTGTTCAATTTTTATTACCACTCTTTTTCTCTCTGACCTATATTGCAGGAATATGCGTAGATTGTTTTAATTGTACTATGGAGCAGACAAAAATCACTCTACTTCATTACAAAATAAATTTTGTTTGGTAAACTTTACCAACTACAAATGTGAAAGAGAAATCAATTTCTTGTCAACTTATGCTTTTTATAAAAGAAAAAATCAATGACAACAACAAAATGAAATAGAGATTTTATTTGGAAGATCACATTGTGTTAAAAAATGCAGGTCCAACAAGAGCTTCTTGTACTAAAGTCACTTCTCACTGGACTTCTGGACGATGACTTTGCAATCGAGAGATTCTACTTTTTCGCTCCTCTTCCATAATTTTAACCCTGTCCCATAAATCAGCAGTTGGACTGCACTGACCATAGCTTAAAGTAAGCACTCTGTAAAGAATATATAAAACATTAAAAACAGTGATAAAAACTCATTAAGAAATAACACAGAATAACTTTAGAAACATTGAACAAAACTTAGTGTTAGGAAAAAAGGTTCAAACTTTACACTGTGATCAGTATTTAATACTAATAAAACTACAAGACGATTGACTTTTGCTTGATTTTTATACAGTACTAAAAGCTTGTGGGATGGCGTGGTCAAATGGTAGAGCGTTTGGATGCTGAGTTCGGATCCTGGTTCAGACTTGTGACTGTGGGATGTCCCTGAGTTTACCCAGCTCTGACTTGTGTTGGGGAAAGTAAGGCAGCTGGAAATAGTTCTGACCACACCACCCTTTATATGCCAAGGTCAGGAAACATGATGTGCCCAATGGATCGCTAGGAGGAATCTTTACTAACATGCTTGCAGTACTAATATAATAAACTACTGACCTGATCAAACCAAGCAGTCTTTGAAAGTCTTCTATGGACATATCTTTAGGATTGTTCTGTCGTGTATTCACAAAGTCATCTTGGATTATCTAAGTGATAATATAAATCAGAAACAGAAAAAGGATGGGCTATTTAACATTAGTTTTAATAAACAGAAAAACAATGTAGTTGGGAGATTAAGAAAAACCCTACGGTTGCCAGAGAAAACTGCATTATAATTTTTAACAATATGAGGATGATTTATGACAGCAGGAACGAATATGAAGGGCATATAGAGAAGTAATCAGTAACAAACAGTAGAGGGGCAGGAATGAAGTATAAGGTGCAGCAGACAATAGGTAAATGAGGTAACAAAAAGAGTTACCTGTGGCAGCAAGTAAAAGGTATTAAAAAGGAACATGTTAATTATATCAAAATCTGAAATTAAAAGTCTAACAGCTTACTTTTTGCGTATCCTCTGAAATTGAATAATCAATAAGTTTGCAGACTGAAATGTAAGATCGTATTTTATCAAGATTGTCCTGCGTGAGTCGATGGTCAAGTTTAGAGAAATGTGCAGGTATATCTAGGATGCTGTTATCTGATGAGAGTGGGACATAAAAATCTTTCTGAAAAAAAAAAAGAACAATAAAATAGCAGGAATAAAAAGGGACTAAAAATGAATTAAAACTTATATAATTTTATAATCATTTGGAGCACAAAATGGACGTTAAAGTTATTATTCACATGTCTTCCTGTACAAATATAAAAAAATTACTAAACGTAAAATGATTTTAAAGTGCTACCAGTGTTAATTTTACTTTAGGGAAAAGAAAAGATTATCTACCGGTAGAAGAGATTCTCCTTCTGACAAAGTCAAAACATGAATATTTGTTGGAACAGGAATGGGGTGCCATTTAAAGTCATAGTCAACCTTCTGCCAGTTTATGACATCTGCCAGTGCTTTTACATTTGTTACTCCTGCAGGTAAAAGATTTGTATGTTGATCTTTGAAGTAAAACACTACATAAGTTTGCCAAATAGCCACCTAATGTGAATTTATGTATATTTAAAGAGCTAAAAAATAGCCTGCCTGCTTGAAAAATAGCTTCTTAAAATTAAAGTCAATACATAAACCCAACAAATTAATGCTGTAACAAGATAATTTATAATTTACTTAAATAAAATCTTTCTAAAAAAAAAATCAACAACAAACACAAGCAGTTGCAGAAAACGTAGTAAAAGAGTTAGAAATGGGAGAAAAAAAAAAGGAGATGTGACATGGAAATTGACAAAAGAAATATGGGTTGGCATTGGTGACCTAATACCTAGAGGAGCAGCAAGCAAATGAGTTACAAACAAAATTTGTCAAACTATAAAATGGAAAAACAGCAGATTTACCTGTGTGGTTTAGCTGGCCTTGTTGTAAAGCTGTTTCATCAACAACAAGATGGGTACCAGAAGCCAGCTGAAGCATCCCAGCTGTGATACGGTTCAACCTGTAATCTTTCTGTGGGATCAGCCTCACAGAGTTCATATTTTCAATTGACATTTCAAGCAGGGCAGTCTGGTAAGGAAAACAATTGATTTTAACTTAACAGGGTACTAATGAATAGGTGGATTCTACTGTAGGCTCTGATGGGTACCTAACTAATGTTAGTGAGTAAAGACGGCTGGGTATAGTGCTGACTACACTATCCCTTCATATGCCAAGGTCACAGAAACAAGTGAACTCTACTTCACTTGCCTCGTAGACCGTCAGGTTTGAAAGGGAACATAACTGTGGGCTGTAGGCTCTTGCGTCAGAGCACAAGATTCATAGCTTTGGTTTATGGGCAGGAGTCAGTCAATAAGACATTTATCAGAAAAAACATCTCTAATAGGAACGTTTTGGTTCACATGAGTCTATTGCTCAGACCTCTTGTCTGCCGGGTACCTAAATTGAGTATATTAATGTTAATGTGGCCAGAGATAGAGCTGACCATATAATCCTTTTATGTTATATTTTATATATGAATCCTTTTATATTGATAGATCACAGAAATATAAAACCTATTTTTTCTGCCATCAGGTGTGAAAAGTTTCTAAATTCTTTTAAATTGCTTAACTTAAAGAGTTAACTGATGAGTATAACATATACAAATATATATATATATATATATTTATATATATATATATATATATATACATATACACACACACACACACAAATCGATGTTTTAAAACCAATAAGTGCTGCATAAATTTTTTTTAAACACAGCACCCACCTGTGAGGTAAGCTGTGAAATCAAATGATGAAGAAACTTGATATACTTTTGAGCACTTGGACATCCACTGATATTCAGACACATCTTCCCCAGAGGCAACATGTCAGCTCTTGCATATCTAGTAAAAAAAAAAAAAAAAAAAACTGATGACAAATAATGAATGCTTCATTTTGAAAGTCATATTTGTTTTAACTCAAAGGTGATTACAGCATTGTGATTAATTTTGACAAATTGGATCATATGTAAATATTCTAAGACTGTCAAACATACACAGTGGAGATGAGGTGACACAAAAGATACTCCGCTGCAAGCCTGTCACACAATAAAGCATGTTCAAGGATTGACAACAGTTCAAGACGCAAAGATAAAGCATCCTCCATCAGATGAATAGCGGCTGAAAACAAATATTTTCATTAGCAAGTTATTGAATAAACACTTGATGAACAATAATACATATTTGAAAACAACACTCTTTTCTAAACACTTTCAATTGGTTAAAAAAAAAACTTTAGTATTTTTACTTCTTTAATAAACACCTTCAGTTGGATTAAAATAAAACTTTAATATTTGTACCTTTCTTATAAACATCTTCAGTAGGAACAGGAGGGAGAATGGGGTTATTATGGTTTAAACGTCTCATGACTAACGCATGAACACGAGGAACCAACGATGGTGGGGGTTCATGTGCCTGTAACTCCTCCTGATAAGCCACATCGCCATGTCTAGGAGTTAACAAAATAGACAATAAAGTTATAAATAAATTTTATATTATCAAAATCTTGGAGTTCGTAGGACATCCCTGAGTCCACCCAGCAATGATGGGTATCTTGACTGAAATTTGGAAAATAGAACTGACAAGAGTATTCCTTTAGTAACTGAAACATTTGAACTTAAATTTGCACTATTAACCACCTAAAATGGTTAACTTTATAACTTACACCGTAAGGTGACATAAGGGGTATATGCTACCACTAGTTCTACTTAAGATTTACTATTTAGTAAAGGAAAACATGTATCATAATTATGAGGACATACTCTGTTTCATCATCAAAAATGGATGCCAGCTGTGGATCCATGGAAAGAATTCCAATAAATTCAATTGCATCTGTTGTCTTGAGATCTACTTCAGGGGTGTACACCTAAACAAGACAAAATATCACACAACTCAAAATGTAACATTATTTAAAATATAAACTGTTCATAACAAATCCTATGCTGAATTGATTCTTAAACATTCATACCATATAGCCAACAAAAGGGGATTGTTATATTTTTATCTTGAACCATTATGTAATTGTAATTAGAAAATAAAAGTGGGTATCAATTTATCTATAAAAAACAACACATCACTTTGAAAGGGTAAATAATGACAAACCTTTAACTCATTTGCTACTAAAGCCTATCTCAAAACCCTTCCCCAGTGGCTAAGCTAAGAGGTAACACATTGGTAGCGAGGAGGGCATGCTGCATTTTATCACACTAGTAGCAAATGAGTTGAACCTTGTTAAAAAGCTCCAATTATCTCATCTATTATTAAATGTTACAGTCATATCAGGAGCAGAAAATTACCTCACCCCAGGACATTACCCTCCCTCCTATTACTACTTAACCCTAAATTACAGAACGTCTAGGGTTAGAGTCATACCAAAAGCATCATGGGTATTCGCAAGGTGGTGAAGAGATGGGGAGGGGGTGTGTAAATGTATCAGCCTATTTGCAAACACATGAAGACATTGGTTAAATAACAAAATAAAACTTACTCTGACAATACACGACACTCCTCTCTCATCAGGAAGTGGCAAGTTTTTATCAAATATCTTGCTTTTGTCAGGATCTTTAGAACCAGGCAAACCATCTGAGTGGAAAATATGTTATTTTGTTTAATAAGGATGCTTCATTTTGAAAGCCATATTTGCTCAAAGAAGTGCCTTAGAAATATGTTGAAAATGTGCATCAAGTGAGATGCTAAAAATGTGCATCAAATGCTTTCCTGTTGTAAAAACTCTTTCAATGATAATTTCTTTACACAGCAAAATGACTATTTTTCTTTTGCAGGGTTGGGGTGAAATAAGATATGTATACTATGCTAGAATCAATGCTTATTTTAACATAAAAAACAAATGTAGCAAAAAAAAAAAACAAAACCCCAAGCTTTTAAGTAAAGAAACAACTGTAGAATATTTAAATCACTAAAACAAAAAATTACTTTGAATATTATGACCAGGATCCGCCATGTGTGCAGAAGGCTGTACTTCCTGTGTGACTTCCATCTCAGAACAAGCGCTATCATCTCTGGATGTTTTCGGCGGGGCCTGGAAATCACTGTACTCACATTCTCTCTCTCGTTTAGTGCGGCAAGATGTACTAGCTGACGGGGCCAATATTTCTGCTTCATTTTTGCTATAAGCTTGGGTTTCAGTTAAGGATTACATTCAACTACTTAGTTTGTCTCATTACTCATCATCATAAAACAAAGCACCCTGTACTTTTTAAAAAAAAAGTACAATTCATACATTATTCTTTTTAAATTTTGCAGTAAAGTGTGATGACACAAATTCAGGGGCACCACCCATTTTTGAAAATAACCCCTGAAAGTGAAATTCACCCAGCCAATCGAAATAGTTAACATTGTGTTAAGATGAAAAGTTTTAAAAATCAGAAGACCTCCCTTTGCCAACATTTTGGTTTTTTAATATCTAAAACAATATGCAGCGACGTAAAAGGGAATCTAAAAAGTGAAAAAATATCCCTGCATTTCCAAAATTTAACAATAAAAAAAAAAAAACCCCTAACTCGAGAATTAAAGAATTACAAATTTGAGAATCTGAAAAGTGAAAAAATATTCTTGAATCAGTAATTCTGGGACAATCCAAGAAAATGGCGCCCATGAAAATAAAATCAGGCCAGCAGACATCACTCAAAGGGTTTCTAGCATCAATCAACTATTGGGAAGGTCACTGCTTTAAACAGTTGATGTAGTTTGCAGGAGTTCATCAGAATTAGGAGTATATTATAAAGAAAGGTTATTGGAGTTATAAACGAGACATACATAATGATAGGCGTAGATTGATTTGAATTTTGTATGAGTAATCTTGGAATTGTGTTTTAATTTTTGAGACTTGGGGTTCAGTGATTTGACAATTAGAAGAAAGAATGCAGGCTTTAAAGTAATAAAAGATTTCCAGCAACATATCAAGTATGTATATTAACAAGATATTTACGCTACAACGATAAGGATATTTTTTTGACCCACTCAGATTCTCCAGGAATTGGGACACAATAAAAGCCGTGTCTTTCCACATGAACATTCTCTTTACCACATTCCATTGTTTCAAAAGGCTAAAAAAAAATTAAAGTAGTAATATTGTTAATATAACAAAAACTTTAAATGATAATATATAGAATCAGTAATTCGTAACTCATGCAACATTTAATATTTCATTAAAACTTAAGGGGGGTCTAGTAGTCAAAATCAAATTTTGTTTTCAATGATGAAATAAATGGTTTTATTATATATTAATAACTTCAAGTACCTTATAGTACACAAAAATGTACTTATTGGAGCAAATTTAAGACTTTTAGTACTTTGATGAAGGTTATCAGGGTCGAAACGATCAATTTTTACATATACGGTAGAATGTAAAAAACACATTACCTACTAATGCCAAAGCAAAACAAATTTGTATATGCATAGAACTCATTGCCATGAATTAGTTGTTAGAACGAAATTGTGATATCTTTAAAAATAAATTTTTATTGAATTTTTTAAAATTCATGTATTATTTATTCACGCTTTTCGTGATGAAATATTCTTTTAAAAAATTATAACTTTTTTGTTATATTAAAATCAGCAAAATTGTTCTAAGACATAATAGAAAAACATAATAGAAATACACTGTGGAAATTTGAAGTGATTCTGACAGACACATCTTAAGTTATATCCATTCCTAAGACACTACTGCGTTAAAATTGACAAAATGGAGAAACGGCAAAATTAAAGTTTAATGACAAAATATTTTATTATATACATATGTCTATAGCCAAATCAATGCAAGAAATTGATAAAAAATCCAATTTTAAAAAAATATAATTAAAAAACAAAGCAGCCTAGAAAATAAATGTTTAAAAAAAAATAATACAGCAATGACACTCCACACACCCCAAAAAAAAAAAAAAAAAAAAAAAAAAAAAAAAAAAAAAAAAAAAAAAAAAAATCTAAAAATTTCCTGCACTATAGCTTTTACCCCCCTCAGAATTAAAAAACTGCTGCTCTACAATCAGCCTTGCATTTACTATCTGCTTTCTTCTTCTCTTTGCCTCTATTCCCTCCTTCTTTTCAGCTTTGCTAACCCGAAGAATGTCTCGTTTTTTTCCTTTCTTCAAAGTTACACCTCCAACTTTGCAGCCAATGTTCTCAAGGAATTGGTGGAGACCGACACTCCCTGAATTAAATTCAGCAATTGACAATGCTGTGCCCACTTCCACTCTTTTTTTCGACACAAAGATGTGTTTTGGTATCCTCGCCCAAATCTTTGCGTGGATGCTTTCATTAGCATTCTGCGTCATGCCAGATAAGCAGCGTTCAAGCAAACTGTCAGAGGTGAGCCTCTCATATATGGGCTTTACCTTCTCAGCCACAACCTCTGACAGAAAGCAGCTGCTTTTACCTGCGTGTGAAGGGGGTGTTTGCCCTAGAGCCATGGCTCTCTGCCAAAAGCACCAAGACTGAACTCCTGTGGGACAGTCATGATGGTTGGGCACTTCGTCAGAGGAAGCTGCATGGTAGAAGCTCATGAAGATTTTTTTCCTCAGTTCTTCTACATTTGAACATTTACTCGCTACTGCCTTCTTGTAATACCTCTGGAGAAGGTTCATCTTTGCCTGTAAATTGAGGAATATTTTTAAAAATTAAAATATGTTTACAAAATAAATTGTCACTTTAGCAAGGAACATAAAATTGAAAATCCTGACAATATTTGAAAAGGGTACTAACTTGTGTTAGGCTTCCAGCTTTCCGTCCACCTATCGTCCTGCCATTCTTTGCTTCTGCAGCCACTAGGTTTCTTAGTGCCGTTCCTAACCTCTTGGACACGTGATTGGTGCACTCCTCTTTTGTTATAGGCACATCATAGGGTGACAGAGACAGAAGCTCGTTGTACGTCTTGCAGTCTCCGTCACTTACAAATTTAGTGTACCGTAGGCCATTGTCCTGGGAGCGTTTCCACATAGTCTTGGCCGCTTCAGCTTCCATCAGACCAGAGGATCCTGTGTGGTTGATGTTGCAGTCTGCCTTATGATCTTCATACCACTCTTGGTAGGCAGCAAGGCTTTCACTCTTCTTAGTGCGGCCTGTTGTAGAACACAGCTGAAAAAAAAAAGAATTTGGTCTCTGTAAGCAAAAACAGTTCATACGTCTTTTTAGGAAATAATTTTAACTAGTGGATGCCTAATAATTACACTTACCGGGCAGTGTGTGGACATCACATGAAAATCAACTGCTAATCCAGTAGTGGTTTCTATTACAACTCCTAGTCCATGCTTGGATGTATGGCCTCTCTTATGCCATGTACCGTCAAAGCTTACAGTCAGGTCGAGTGTGTCTGCACCCCCTGAGCCATACTTCTTTTTCACAGTGTGAATGGCATCTGCCTTGACCTTCTCTGCAAACACTAGGTTTTTAGCATGAATGTCGTTTAGATGGGCAGTGTAGGTCTTACATTCCATGGAGTCCATTCCCATGGCCTCGCAGAAAGCATTCATTCCAGCATATCCAACTCCTACATTCAAAAATGAAGCTACCAGCCGCCTGTTGATCTCATAATGCTTGCTCTCTGATAGTGTCTTGGATGTTGCAGTGCTGGCATGAAGCATTTTACATTTAGAGCATGCAACCCGTAGCATCAACACAGAGCCAGCTCTCTTCTCACATGACAGTACAAGCTTTTCAAAGCAGACATTGCAGCTTAGCTCACTAAATAGGTTACCCAGATTGCTAAGGTCAACCAAGGCATAAGTTGACAGTGTGTCGTTTGTAGGCACTTCAACGTCAGGTTTCTCTTGTGATGAAGAAGCAGCAAAGTTAAGCTTACGCTTTGATGCAGATTCTTTTACAGGAATAACAGTGTCTTGGCTGCTCGTTCCTGGAGATTCAACTGGAACTGCAAGTGCATCATGCTGCATCTGTACTTTCTTTGCAAGCTTGGCAGCCCTTGCTTTGGCTAAGCCAGTTTTCTTAGAACGGGTGGTGTGTTTGGCTCTTTGAGTAGCAACTTGTTTGCTGGGTGCCATTTTACTGGAAAAAAAATTATGATAAAGTTTAGGAGTCAATCAACATTAGATTATTACTGATGAAAAATTAAAATTTATCTAGAAAACCTATAGATTAGATCTAGATATCACAATGCTGCATTGAGACAGCTAATGTAGATCTAGACTGATCTAGAAGTAGACTCTAGCTAGATTCTAGATCTAAATCTAGTCTATCTACTGTATCTAGATCTAGATTCTAATAATATACTGACATACTGCCTGTACTGACTACAGCTAAGCTTAGACCTAGATCTCTAGATCTAAATCTAGTTGTCAAATAAATCTAGATATTAGATAATCTAGAATATATCGTTATCTCTTAGATTCTAAATTTAAAAAATGATTGTTTCTAGACTCTAGATCTAGAATCTAGTCTAGATCTAGTAACTAGCCCAACTCTAGCAGTACTCTAGCAGTAGTACTCTAGCGTCTAGAGTAGACTAGATCTAGAGACACCAGACATCTAGATCTAGAATCTAGATCTAATATCAATATTCTACTATTCTAGACTAAAAGATCTAAATAAAAATAACAATTTTTCAAAAAATTTACCTTGCAATTGTTTGAAACAAACAAAAAATTGAGCAAAGCTTGAAAAATGAGTAGTTTGAACAGCGTGCGCAGATATCAATCGATAAGATAAGATGGCGGCGTAAGTAAACCAACGCGATGCATCACGGTCCGTGGTTAACCAACCGATGGCCTCATTTTCTAAAAATAGTGTATTTATTTATAACTGACCAATGATAGTACAGATTTTATAAAGTTAGACAAACTAGGGGGCTAGTGACGTATTTCAAATTATTTGTGCTCTTTCTTAGGCACATCTATTTTTAGAAAAATAGGTCAGCAAGATGGTCGCTTGGATTTGCTTCAAAACGATACCTTACACGGCTTATTAGCAATTATAGGAATAATGTTGCATGGTCGTAACTATGGCCGATTTTGCAACTTTCGCAGTTCGTTGAAATTTTATCCTAGACACATGTTATTCTAACTCAATTTTAGTAATAATTGCATCATATTTTTGCTTATTCAATAGGGGAAATGTGTTAAGAAGAGGTTGATTTATAAAAATATGTTTTTATTAAAAAACTGAGTTTTTATGAAAAAATAATCATTTTTGAAGAAAGTTGACTACAGGTCCCCCCTTAATGACAAAACCAGAATTATTCAGAAATATATTAAAGGAGGCATATGTTAAGGGAAAATAATTGGTTATCATATTTTTAAAAATAGTGCAAGTAAAAAGCTTACAGCCAATGTAGGAACATCTCTAAAGGAGCCAAATTCAAGACGAGAGCTGTGAGCATTTGTGTTTGTTACTGTGTATTGGCCCACACAGAACTGAGGATCAAATACATCTTGAACCATACAACGATACTTCACCAGAATGCCTGATTTCAACTGGTCTAGAGAAGTGCTGTTCAGAGATGGTATCTGTGTAATAAAAAAATTTATATGCATTGTAAACAATGATAAAAATACATGATGAATTTTAAATCTTTTATTAAAGAAAAAGACTGAATAATAAGCAAATGATGAAAAAAAAAAAATCACACAAAAATTATTTCATAATTATCAGTACAATACTACATACATCAGTCAATATGAATAAACTTAACAGCTAACCTTAGATAAAGCTGACTCATCAAGCCTTTCAGTAAAGTAGCTTTGAACTTTATTGACAAAATCATCATGTTTCCCACCAACATTGTCCTCTGCAAGAAGAGAGAAAGTAGTTCAAACAAAATTAAAATCACCTATAAACTACAACAAGAAAGGCGTTTGTAAATGCCTATACAAGTGAAGAGTAGAAGCTTTCATGTTAATATAGACTAATAGTTGTCTCACAGCATTCTATGTTTGTTGGTTATAGATCATTAGATGACTCTGACAACTTCTTCATTCATAACTGTAATGTTGGATGGGATTTTCTCTAACACAAAAAGTATTAGGCCTATGTATGTGACAACATGAATGTTATGAATGAGCCAAATGCCCTGCTTTTCATTCATGGTTTGATTCAATCGCCTTTTGCTTTGTCCATCTCATTTAACTAAGACTAAGAGCAATAGTTATTTGATTTTGGAGTAGGCCTATGGCTATAGGCCAACTCTCCTAGATGGGACTTTTCAGTTAAGCAACCATGAGTTTTACCAGCCTGATGATGCCAACAACTAGATCTAATTGGCAAATGTTGACTTGACAAAGCAACATTTTTGCTTTTAGGCTAACACTTTATTATTATAAAATCATGCAGTCCTTCACTTCATTAAAAACATGATTGCCATAGGCCATAGTTTAAATTTTGTTGTGATTTCTTTTAGTTTTAGACTTCAGTGATTAATTTGAAGCTGACAACAAAAAGAAATTATTTAGCCTAATAATAAGCCCTAATGCCTAATAAATAAATAATACAAGTAGGCCTAACATGCCAAAACATTTGGTCATATGACATGATTTATGTTACAGTTTACAGTACACTGAATGAATACTGTACTGTTAAATAATACACTGTTTGTGTTTAATGTTTAGTTTCACATTTTCCACTCTCAATCAGTTTACTGGTTTTTGTTTGGTACTAGATTTCTAGATCTATTTCTAGATCTAGATATTCTAGATCTAGATCTGTCAAAACTGACTCAAAACTTGGTATGGGAGGCTACCATCTGGATCTGGTAAAGTGAAGATGGCAGATGAATTAAAAGTTAAGCACTCTTTCAAAAACCTTAGGCCTTAGGGTCCATGGGGAGATGAAGTCAGTTCACCTAATTTAGAAAAATATTAATTTTATATTAAAAAGTTACAAACCGAATAGCTTTTGTATTGTGTCATATGGCCTTGTACTCCAGTCTTCAATCCCAGGCATTGTTTGTAATTTTTTTTTAATAGATAGGCTTATAGATTTTCGGATCGGACAGTTTATTCTAAGACCAACAGACTACTAGATCTACTTCAACTAGATCTAGATCTAGATCCACAAAAATAATCAAAGAGAATGTTTAGGCCTATTTATTTACAAAACAAATGATAACAACACACCTAGATTCTAGATCTAGAATCCAGTAATATGGCGGGAATGGTAATGATTATTAATCTTTTGGTACGCAAGAACATTCTGTAAATTCAAATAGGGTGCAAACAGGGGTTAGCAAATTCGCATTTGGATTTAGTTTGTTGTCGTTTCCGGTAAATGTACCGAGTGTTGACAACTATTTCTACTGGAGTTAGTACACTACTAGACTAGATCTAGATCTAGATCTAGCTAGACCTTGCTAAACTGACGCATTAAGATCTGTCTCGTATAATATAAGATTTCTAGACCTAGATCTAGAATCTAGATCTAGATCTTGGCATAGTTTCTAGATCTAATAAGTCAGTCAGTAGTCAGCAGTGAGTATGGATGAAAAAGTTTGCACCGGCAATCTCGAAAAAGGTAGGCTAGGATTTAATTAATTTTAAAATTACTAGATCTAGATCTAGATCTAGACCTAATCTAGATCTAGATCTAGAGATTCTAGATCTAGAGTCTAAATCTAGAAAGCTAGACTCTAATTACTAGATTCTAGATCTATCTAGAATCTAGACTAGGTGAGACACACAAACTCATAAACTTTGTTGTCACTTGTGTCCCAAGACAAACTTAACTTAGTGATTAGTGAAGATCTAGAGTCTAGATCTAGAAAGCTAGACTCTAATTACTAGATTCTAGATCTATCTAATCTAGATCTAATTCTAGATCTATCTAATCTAGATCTAATTCTAGATCTATCTAGATCTAGACTAGGTGAGACACACACACTCATAAACTTTGTCACTTGTGTCCCAAGATATCTAGATTCTAGATCTAGAATAAGAATCTAGATCTAGTATTCTCACATCTAAACCTGGCTGGTGTCTGAACTGAAGAGTGAGAGAGTTTCGCTAAAAGGTGACTAAGATGATTAAGAAGTGTGACTAGGAGGGTCACAAGTGAAGTGTGTTTTATAATGGTGTTTTTAGTATTTTAATATGTTTAGTGTAGTTACTAATAGTTACTAAAGTTAGGCCTAGTTTTAAACTAAGTTATATTAATTTTTTGGCCTCTTTTCACAATTTGTCATGTTTTTGTTACAGAGAAAACAACACAGCATCTTGCTGCTTTAAGCATAGGTGTCATATGTATTCTTATTGGGCTACCATTATGGTGGAAAACAACAGAAGTCTACAGAGTTAGTCTCCCTTACACAGACATTCAACACTTGTCTGACAACAAGGTATGTTTTGTTTTATTATATGATATTTATAAAAATTCTTTTTTGTTAATATTCTAAACTAAAATTAGTAAGCTGTTTGTACTCTATAATTTGCTATCCATATGTACTATGCTAGCCACAGTCTAATATGGTAGTTATAGACAGTGATATTTTTACTGTTTTTGTTTTATAGCTTGAGTTCATGGTTGAAGTGGATGTTATCTGGGCAGCAGCCACAAACAAAAAAGACAGCTTATTCCTCTCAGATTTAGCACTGCAATTGTCTAGGTCACTAGGTATGTAATTAGCTGGCCATTCATTTTAAAATTCTGATAATTAAAATAACTCCAAATTTTTATTTGAATAGTTTTTTTCTCTAGGTTTGTGAAAGTAATATTAATTTATTTTTTTCTTCATGTAGACAGCAAACAGTTTGATGGGAAAACCTTGTCCTCCATATTTAGAGTAGCAGTTCGAGAAGCTGATGACCCAGAGCTGCTGGCCCTCCAGAAAGTTTCTAAGTGTATGTAATGTAACAGTTTTTGTTATTGAAAAATTGTAGAACTACATATTAAATGTTCAGCTAGCTGATTCCACCAATGGTTTATAGTCTGCCCTTTGTAATCTCTAACACTTGGTGTACTTAAAGTCTCTTTCATGTTTATACATTTAAAAATTATCTGGCTTAAGTTAGGGAAAAAAAAAAGTGAATTGGGCATATTGCTGACCACACTACCCCTTCAAATACTAAAGCCATAGAAGCAGATGATGTTGATTTTATCTTCTATTTAGTCCATCAGGACTAAAAGTTTTCATTAAATACTCTCTGTCACTGTTGCATACCACCAAGAGACAATGAGAAACTCTGCTTTAGTGATGTCCCAATGACAATGCCATACTTTTGTTTGATATGAAATATTATTTCTTGTTAATACATTCTTAGTATTGAAAGGAGACTTTAAGTATGAAGATTTATTTTTGTAATGGATTTTTTTTTTTTAGAATTATTATTATAAAACAACCTAACACTTTCTTAAGAATTTAGCATGTGCGATTAAAAATCTCAGTTTTCTATTTCAACTACCTTTGTAAAACAGTGTCAGATCTGCAGCCAATACTCTCTTCTGATAACTTGAACAAGTACAATATTATAGTAACAAAACCTTCAAGCATCATTACTCAGCCAGTTCTTGCACCTGGGAACAATGTCTTTCTACCTTACAATGGGGCAGGTAAACATGTCTTGAATAGTAAAAGTTTAACATGCATAAATTTATTTTCTTTTTAAAAATTTGTATAAATACCTAGCTGAATTATAAGTTTCTTCGTACAGATATTTTCTTATAAATAATATAATATTATTACATGTTAAATAATGTAACTGATATTTTCTGTAAAGCTTATCTGCAAAATTGGAGATACGATATTATGGTACAAAATATTTTGATCCAGATTTGTGGTTAATTGTAGTCAAACAAAATATTTCAGCTGTTGAGGGTCTTTCTGCTCAAATTGTGCACTTGTTGATGGATGTTATAAGGATGGCAACTCTGACAAAAAGTGTGGAAGCTGCACAAGGACTTCGAGCCCAAAGAGTTGGTATCATTAATATCTTAAGACCCTGCTCATATCTTAATCTGTTCAAACAGTTACTGATCATTTTATATCTTTGTACATGAGGTTGTAATATATTTAAAAAGATAATAACTAACATTAATTCTTTTAAATATTCTTGAATTAAAATTTTAAATTAACACTGAATTTACAGATAAGGATATTATGAGATCCTTTAGATTTCATTCAGGTTATGACATAACCTTCACCCTTATGGTTCCTGCATTAATATCTTAAGACAATACTCATATCTTAATCAGTCCAAAGAGTTACAGATAATTTTATTACCTTTGCACAATAGGTTGTAATATATTTAAAAAGACAGTAAATTAACATTGATTCTTTTAAATATTCTTGAATTAAAATTTTAATTAACTCTGAATCTACAGCCAGACAAGGATATTATGAGGTCCTTTAGATTTCATTCAGGTTATGACATAACCTTCACCCTTATGATTCCTGAGCCAGACCATATCAATGTCCAATGGGATATTGCTAATGGAGTTGAAGGTAAATGTTATTTTATAACAGAGGTCATTACCCTTCTTTGACTAAAAGACCATTTTAAGATATTTCTGGAAAAATCAATGCTGTGGAGTCTCACTGAAAGTTATATTTAAGCTCTGATACTTTAAGCTATGTATGCTTTAAAAAACAAACGTTACTGTGTTATTGAAATTATTTCATGAAGCGCTGTAACTATACATTGAACATAAGTGTTATAAAAATAAAAGGTCTAATAAAAAGATTTTTGAGGGTATAAACATCAAAACCATAATTAGGTATTGAAGTATACAATATAATCCTGAGTTTGTTTCTGTTAAAATCTGCTTTTGTGTTATGTTAATATTTTAGATGTAATAATTAATACAATTAAAAAAAAAATTTTGTTTTAGATTATTTCCGTCCTTTGCTTGATTCCCTGGAAAGTTACACCAATATATCAGTCACTTCTCAGGTACGTTTAATTTTTGTTGTTAAAAAGTTGATTGAATGACAATGATAATTATTACTGACATTAAGTTTTTATCAAGGCTTAGGATTTGATAAAGACAGGCTTTAGGACAAATTGCTGATCAAATATGTTTCTACAGCACTCTTATCTCCTTCTTCCCAGGTTCTCTATTTCATCAGCTTAGGTGGTCAGCCGAAGAAGGGGGACAACTACTTTTACTTTTCTGAGCAGGATTTACCTCATGTTATCAACCCCTTAGAGACTAAATTAGGTGACAGCATTTTACATTTAAAGAAAAACTAGTTGCAAACATGTATCTATTAATAATGATATATTTTATTTCTAATAACCACACACTTTTTAACTAATTTTACCACAAATTTAAATAATGTAAACAAAAAAATATAAAGCTTTGCTTGCTTGTTTAAAAAAAGATATTTTACTGTTTGGAGAAAATGTATGTCTTTTCTCTATTTTCTAGGTATAAAGGTAGTAAATAGACCTATAGTCATTAAAAAAAATATTGATTCCATTCAGCTGTCTTGGATATAATGTAAAATTATACTGTCTGCAGGTTTTCATGCTTCCAACAACCCAGGATTAAATTTCATAGTGTACATTCCTACCAAAAATAGAAGTCCTTTGTACATTCATGATAAAAATGGTTGGTATTTTGTTTATTTTTATCCACAAAATTTTTAATACGTTCAAAAGTTCAAAGCATTAAGGATGGTGTAGGTATAAAAAAGGCGCCTGAAGATATAGAATGTTATATTGCTATGGCTTAGTTTGGTTTTAGTGATCTGATAATAATCTATCAGTTAATAAATCTTGTTTGGTGGTAGCTGTGAAAATTATGAAATTAGAAAATTATTTGCTTAAAAAAATAGTCATAGATATGCAAGACAAAATCTTAGAAGCTGGTATATCCAATATAATTCTTTTTGTAAATGCTGTTATTATTTAAATTAAATTTATTTTGGTCTAACTGTCTACTGCAGGTGCTGCTGTACCAAGTAATTCTTTCCTCAGTCCACGATGGGGTGGCGTCATGATCTACAATCCACAGATGGAGTCTTCTTCCAATGGATCAGACGTTCATCCCCTCCCCGTGGACATGCACCAGATCATGGAGGTCTTTGTCACACAGTCTAGGCTGCTGTTGAACATCAACCCACACGTAAGGGAGGATTTTGTTGTGTACGGCCTCACATAAGGGAAGTTTAGTTAGGTGTGGCCTTACATAAGGGAGTTCTGTTAGGTGTGGCCTCACATAAGAGAGGCTTTTGTTAGGTGTAAGAGTGGCTTTCAGGGTCTAAATTTTCATACCAGAATCCTTACATTGCATACTAGTCCACATAAGGGACTGGGTCAAGGTCATTACCTCCACTATTTGTTCCACCACTCTTGAGATTAGTATTAGCCCACTGTCAATTACCTCCCACCCTCCACTACCCAAGGTAATTACCTCTGTTCTTGATATCACATAGTAAAAATGTCACCCAGTTAAGTTAGAATCCTGGCATTCTGTGGAATAGTTCAACTGGGTTGATAGAGTACAAAGTTAGTCATATTTTGTACTTTCATTAGCTCAACTAGGTTGACAGAGTACTATCATTAGGTATTTTATAGAATAGTGAACAAGAAGACCTTCAAAGCTTATTCTGTCCAGAACATTTCCTATCTTTCAATTAGGGTTATGTTTAATGTTATGTTTAAGGACAATTTGTAATTGATGGTGGGGGGGGGGGGGGGGGGGGGGTTAATGTCCTCCAACTGAGGGGTAATTTATCTGGCTAAGAGGGAGAAAGGTAATGTTTAGGGTTTAATGTACAAGAGATGGAGAGTAGGTTCTAGCTCTCATGAGCTTAGGTTCAGTATTGAGCAGGCTGTCTTTTTAAGTGAATACATTTAGTATGAATCCCACTATTAAAGTAGGCCTGATGCCTGAGTAAAAATTTTTTTTTGACTTGCAGATGGCAACAAAAGAGTTGAAGGTGCTGAGCACAGGTGACTCTAAACTTGTGCAGTGGGAGCTGGCTGGATGGCTCCGGAGCCGCTGTGCTGAGAACATTCTGACGGCCACTTTAAGCCTGCAGTCCCTGGCTCAGCTGCTGGAGGAGATAGGGAACATTGTCATTAATGATGACATTGGGAAGGAGGTGAGGTGGCATTAATGATGACATTGGGAAGGAGGTGAGGTGGCATTAATGATGACATTGGGAAGGAGGTGAGGTGGCATTAATGATGACATTGGGAAGGAGGTGAGGTGGCATTAATGATGACATTGGGAAGGAGGTGAGGTGGCATTAATGATGACATTGGGAAGGAGGTGAGGTGGCATTAATGATGACATTGGGAAGGAGGTGAGGTGGCATTAATGATGACATTGGGAAGGAGGTGAGGTGGCATTAATGATGACATTGGGAAGGAGGTGAGGTGGCATTAATGATGACATTGGGAAGGAGGTGAGGTGGCATTAATGATGACATTGGGAAGGTGAGGTATCATTAATGATGACATTGGGAAGGAGGTGAGGTGGCATTAATGATGACATTGGGAAGGAGGTGAGGTGGCATTAATGATGACATTGGGAAGGTGAGGTATCATTAATGATGACATTGGGAAGGAGGTGAGGTGGCATTAATGATTACATTGGGAAGGAGGTGAGGTGTCATTAATGATGACATTGGGAAGGAGGTGAGGTGGCATTAATGATGACATTGGGAAGGAGGTGAGGTGGCATTAATGATGACATTGGGAAGGAGGTGAGGTTGCATACATTGGGAAGGAGGTGAGGTGGCATTAATGATGACATTGGGAAGGAAGTGAGGTGTCATTAATGATGACATTGGGAAGGAGGTGAGGTGGCATTAATGATGACATTGGGAAGGAGGTGAGGTGGCATTAATGATGACATTGGGAAGGAGGTGAGGTGGCATTAATGATGACATTGGGAAGGAGGTGAGGTGGCATTAATGATGACATTGGGAAGGAGGTGAGGTGGCATTAATGATGACATTGGGAAGGTGAGGTATCATTAATGATGACATTGGGAAGGAGGTGAGGTGGCATTAATGATGACATTGGGAAGGAGGTGAGGTGGCATTAATGATGACATTGGGAAGGTGAGGTATCATTAATGATGACATTGGGAAGGAGGTGAGGTGTCATTAATGATGACATTGGGAAGGAGGTGAGCTGTCATTAATGATGACATTGGGAAGGAGGTGAGGTGGCATTAATGATGACATTGGGAAGGAGGTGAGGTGGCATTAATGATGACATTGGGAAGGAGGTGAGGTTGCATACATTGGGAAGGAGGTGAGGTGGCATTAATGATGACATTGGGAAGGAAGTGAGGTGTCATTAATGATGACATTGGGAAGGAGGTGAGGTGGCATTAATGATGACATTGGGAAGGAGGTGAGGTGGCATTAATGATGACATTGGGAAGGAGGTGAGGTGTCATTAATGATGACATTGGGTGGTAGGTGAGGTGTCATTAATGATGACATTGGGAAGGAGGTGAGGTGGCATTAATGATGACATTGGGAAGGTGAGGTATCATTAATGATGACATTGGGAAGGAGGTGAGGTGTCATTAATGATGACATTGGGAAGGAGGTGAGGTGGCATTAATGATGACATTGGGAAGGAGGTGAGGTGGCATTAATGATGACATTGGGAAGGAGGTGAGGTGGCATTAATGATGACATTGGGAAGGAAGTGAGGTGTCATTAATGATGACATTGGGAAGGAGGTGAGGTGGCATTAATGATGACATTGGGAAGGAGGTGAGGTGGCATTAATGATGACATTGGGAAGGAGGTGAGGTGGCATTAATGATGACATTGGGAAGGAGGTGAGGTGTCATTAATGATGACATTGGGTGGTAGGTGAGGTGTCATTAATGATGACATTGGGTGGTAGGTGAGGTGTCATTAATGATGACATTGGGAGGGAGGTGAGGTGGCATTAATGATTACATTGGGAAGGAGGTGAGGTGGCATTAACGATGACATTGGGAAGGAGGTGAGGTGTCATTAACGATGACATTGGGAAGGAGGTGAGGTGGCATTAATGATGACATTGGGAAGGAGGTGAGGTGGCATTAATGATGACATTGGGAAGGAGGTGAGGTGGCATTAATGATGACATTGGGAAGGAGGTGAGGTTGCATTAATGATGACATTGGGAAGGAGGTGAGGTGGCATTAATGATGACATTGGGAAGGAGGTGAGGTGGCATTAATGATGACATTGGGAAGGAAGTGAGGTGTCATTAATGATGACATTGGGAAGGAGGTGAGGTGGCATTAATGATGACATTGGGAAGGAGGTGAGGTGGCATTAATGATGACATTGGGAAGGAGGTGAGGTGTCATTAATGATGACATTGGGTGGTAGGTGAGGTGTCATTAATGATGACATTGGGTGGTAGGTGAGGTGTCATTAATGATGACATTGGGAGGGAGGTGAGGTGGCATTAATGATTACATTGGGAAGGAGGTGAGGTTGCATTAATGATGACATTGGGAAGGAGGTGAGGTGGCATTAACGATGACATTGGGAAGGAGGAGAGGTGGCATTAACGATGACATTGGGAAGGAGGTGAGGTGTCATTAATGATGACATTGGGAAGGAGGTGAGGTGGCATTAATGATAACATTGGGAGGGAGGTGAGGTTGCATTAATGATAACATTGGGAGGGAGGTGAGGTGTCATTAATGATAACATTGGGAGGGAGGTGAGGTGGCATTAATGATTACATTGGGAAGGAGGTGAGGTGTCATTAATGATGACATTGGGAAGGAGGTGAGGTGGCAATAATGATGACATTGGGAAGGAGGTGAGGAAATAATTTAATTAATCATGACATCAGGGAAGAGGTTATGATAAAAAGTCCATCCATGTTGACATCAATCTTAATAATTGTGAATTTTGTCATCAACATTGACATTATTAAAGATTTGATATACAGGCAGACAATGTATTGTAAAGAAAATGTTATTAAATTTGATTTTTAATTTTTGAATACAAATTATGTCACACAAAATGGTTACAAAAATGAACCAACAAAGCAATAAATCTTGAACAGGTTGAGTCAGCTGTGGCTTCCATTAAAGAAAGTAAACTTCTCCTGAAGAGCGGCAAGCTGAAGGAGGCTTTCCTTGCCTCTAAGGCAGCAGTTGAGTCCTCAGAGCTGGCTTTCTTCCACCCCTCTCTACTAGAGCTCTTGTATTTCCCTGAGGATCAAAAGTGAGAATTTATGATCTTACTTTTTAATTCAGTAATCTTAATTGTTTCCTTAATCCTAGTAACTTGAAATGTCATTTTTTTTTAAAATTTATAATGTTAAAATAAATTTCAAAATTATGTTAAGCCACACACTTTTGAGATAATAAAAGTTTGAATCATGAATAAGAAAAACCCAATCACTCAACACACGAGCTAGAAACTTGTCTAACGCTCCCTCATCTTGATGTGAGGATCAATCAGATAAGAAATTTGAATTAATGAACAAAAATTCACCCTTAAGGGTCTGTTTTATAAATAGATGACACTGAAGTGAATTTTTTCATGTTATTTCTTTATAGGTTTGCCATCTACATCCCCCTGTTTCTGCCCATTAGTATACCAGTGCTGACCACAATGCTGCAAGCCATCAAATGGTTCAGAGAACTCAAGAAATCTAAACAGGACTAATTTAGTGATTGAATTGTTAGATAAATTATTCTTCAATTATTTTAAAGCTGGTTTTTGACTAATTTTGTTTTAACTAATAACCATTCCCACCTGCAAAAATGATGTTAGAAAAATGTCTTTGTATCAAAGTGAAGGAATGAACCTCTTTTTCTTGACTGACCTCGTTTTGACATACCATTCTCTGGGTGCTTAACAAGGCACATTGCAACTAAATATTGCAACTTGAGATGCATTTTGCTTTTCTGTTTTGTTGATGTTCTCACCTGTTCTAAGATTTTTTTTACCTGTTTTGCTGATGTAAAACTATTTTATGAATCAAAATAAGAAATATTTTGTAACATTTGTTTTTAAACTGGTGTAGATAATTAAATTTAAGAACTAAAAGTTGAGCACCACATGTAAGAATTATAACCTGCTTCTCCTCATTATGACCATCTTTGAATGGGTGTTGTTGCAGATTGTTTGAAGTTACTTGGTGACCATCTTTAAATGGGTGTTGTTGCAGATTGTTTGAAGTTACTTGGTGACCATCTTTAAATGGGTGTTGTTGCAGATTGTTTGAAGTTACTTGGTGACCATCTTTGAATGGGTGTTGTTTGCAGACTGTTCAATATTTGAAGTTACTTGGTGTAACATTTGATGAACAAACCTAGTTGGTTGGCGTGTTATGTGAGTTGGTTTTGTCTTGTAGTGAGTGAGTTATAAGCTGGTGAATTGTATTGAGTGAAGTGCTGTGTGAGATGATTGTATGATGGGATAGGGTCTTGTGAGTTGAGTATGTGTGTTAGTTACCTTGTGGTGACTGAATTGTTTGTTATCTATCAAAGTTTAAATTTTTTATGGTTATGTTAAATGTTAGTTAATAAAATATAATGAGACTGTAATTTAAAAAAAAAATGTTTTTAAAAAAGACTAGTTCTTGATGAAGGTTTGAGTATTGTTTACAAGGTGGTTGAGTTGTAGAGAAAGTCTTGGGTTCGGTTCCATGGCTCGAGTCGGTAGGATGTGACTGAGTCCACTCACCTCTGACTTGAGAGTGGAGAAATAAAGACAGCTGGACACAGTACTGACCTCACTATTCCTTTATACAGACAACACAGGGGAGATTTAAATGTCAATGTGGTTGTTTATATTTTGTCTAAATTTCTGCCTTCTAATATGACATGAACCTTGGCAGTCATGCACAGCTTCCTGAGGGTGAATATACTCTTGTGATGGCTGCAAATAATTTTGTTTAACCAACTCTTGCCTTGAAACTAGCAAGGAATGTCAATACAATATGGCATCACCACATCAATTAATGTCAGTACAATGTGGCATCACCACATCAATGAGACTTGACAGCAAGAAATGTCAGGCCAATATTACGTCACCGTTACATCTAAAGGGCTGGAAAGTAGGTCAATAAACAGTTCTATGGCTCATGCAGGTTTTATTGAGCCTTAGAACTGGTTTGTGAAGTACTTACTAGCCCTATAGCAGGGCCTGATAATCGGCTGGCACCAATAGTTACGTCACGCCAGTAAACAAATCCTGACCCCCCCCCCCCCTTACTTTCGAGCAAAGTAAATCACGTGCTGCTTCAGGTGAAATTATAGTAAGTTGGTATTAATGGGGGGGGGGGGGGGGGGAAGAAACACGACACTTTTATTTCATACCAGTAGCTCAGGGGGATTAACTCTATACAACTACAAACTCGGTAGCCATAAAAATCGGGGCTTAACATTCACACCACCTAAGCTTGACATATAAACTCCACCAAAGTGAACCGGTTTCCTAGAAACGCTCCATTTTAAGGAACATTCGCCGGATCCTGAAACAAATAAGAAGGCTCATTGTGTATTGGTGTGGTAGGATTGGCTTAGCCAATCATAAGGCTAAATTTTATTAACTATTTTGATCCCGCATAATTTCATTAGTTGTATTTAAAAAAAAATGCTTCTTTATAATAGCTATCATAATTTCTTAAGTCCAGAATTCTACTGTAAATATTTTTAAAAAGTATCTTGTTCTGTTTACTAACGTGGACACCAAATACAACAATGGAGGCATTACAGCTTAGTCCCTAAGTGGAGCGATGACATTCGTGTAATTTTACACTAGAATACATTTTATTTTACTTGTGTATCCTATATCAGACAAGTGTATATCTAGACACGAGATTAAAGCACGACTGAAATAAACATTAAGCAGTGTTTCTTACACACTATTTTTCTCCGGTGGGAGGGGGGGGGGGGGGGGGGGAAAGCGGTAGCCTGAAAGAAACTCAGCCATTAAGGAATATAAGGGCGTGCTTGGGGGAAAGCAAGGGTCGCCACTCACATTCAAAAAAGAAATTTGTTTGTTTAAATATTCCGGCCCAGGTTTTAAGAATTCGCAGTTAACGAACGATACTTCAACCCTGAACCCAACATTAAAACTGACATCATTCAAGCCAAGTCATAATACATTAACCCGTAGTACTCGCCCATCCAATTTACGAGTTGAAGTATCGTAGTTTGCGATACCGGTTCCGTGTAAAGTGGGTGCGGCTAAACCATATGAGCAGCAAAAATAGCAACAAATTTGGTTTGGTACTAGATCTAGACATAAATGTATCATGTTACTTATGTTTAGACAACTTCTATGAAAATAAATAACAGCATTCCCCCCCCCCCCATTCCCACACATACATTATACGTCATGAGGTTCGTGACGTCATTATCAGACGCCGGCTTTCTTCTGGTGCTATGATGTGTGACCAGGGATTAGGAAAGGGCAGAAGTAAGGAGAGACAGAGAAATATCAGGTTAACAATGTAGCAACAGGAACTGATGTCCTACGCTCTGACGCTTCGAGAGTAATTCGTTAAACAGTTCAAAAGTTTACCTCTGTTAGTTATACAAAACACGGAGCAGCGGGGAAACGAAACAAAAAATGCCATATTGAATACGCGTGCAAGATTATTTAAAAAAAAAAGTTAAACTTATAGGATCTACTTTTTTGTGGAAACTGTATTAAATGTGGCAAGGTGTGAGATTTAAAAACTGTATTGTTGTAGTTTAAATAAAACTCGGGAATGATTTCAATTGCACTTGTACCAAAGTCTTTGCTGGGTGAGGCTAAGTCTGACGGAGCTACTAACATTTCATGAATATTTTAGCTGTTTTTTTTCCTAAAAGAAATTGGCTTAACTGCTACAATCATCCGTATTACAAAATTGGTAATAAGATGTTTTGTTAAGATGAAACTCCTGGGCAATGCGCCAGTAGCGAGGGGGGGGGGGGGGGTACATATGTCCCCGGGCGCCGACCTTAATGGGCGCCAAAATGGGTAGGAAAAATAAATTGAAAGGTTGAGGGGGGTGAAAATTGAAAGTTTGAGAGGGGGGGGGGGTGCAAATCGAAAGTTTGAGGGGGGGGGGGTGCAAATCGAAATCTTGAGGGGGGGGGGGGGGATGCAAATCGAAAAGTTTGTCCCCGGGCGCCGGGAAGGGTCGCTACGCCTCTGCAATGCGCATCTATCTCTTCAAGAGACCACGTGCAGGGGTTACTTTAGTACGGAAACTTTAAATCCCATCTAGAACCTATTTATTGTTTTAAACTAGTGAAAGAACAAACTAAACAAGAAAAACTCTTGGATTAGAGTATACACAGATGGCTCAGCTGATGGTGCCACCAAAAATGGTAGGGCTGGAATTCTTATTGAATGCCCAAATGGGGAAAGCTTAGAAAAGTCGACTACATAGCACGGTTGTTTTCAACCTTCTGGAGGTATCGAACCCCACAAGTTTCATACGCACATTCACCGAACCCTTCCGTATATTTCTATTGCCCGCACTGGCAAATTCCGAATCACATGAGTTGGGAGTGTGTCTTGACCTCCGCCGAACCTATGAGACTCTCAACGAACCCCTGGGGTTCGATTGAAACTAGATAATGAACCACTGATATAGAACATTCAACTAACCTTCTGTCAGGTCACCCTGAACCCCAAATAGACAGTCTTTTCAACAGATACTAGATCTGTCCAGTCTTTTCAACAGACACCAGATCTTTCCAGTCTTTTCAACAGATACCAGATCTTTCTTGCAGACTCCGAAGAACCCAGAAGCCTCCAATAATTTTCAAACTTAGAAGAGACCACCATATGATGGAACAGCACATGTTTAAAAAACGAAAATTTGTTAAAAGGGAAACATGCCCTAGTGACATGTCCAACACAAAACATGTCCTTCAAGACTGCAGCATATACAAACAAACACGATCTAGACTCTAGACCCAAAATACCCAACAATGCAGTTCATCTACGTATTTTGGGATTGTATGATTCCATCAATGTAAACAAATATTAAGAATATATATATACTAGCCGTCCCGGCCAGGCCCTGCTCTGGCTTCTGTGAAAAACCTTTCTGTTAAAGACCATTACGTGTGTGTTTAGTAATCATCATAAACCCGGCATTGCCCACCCAAACCACAACCAACCAAAACAACAAAACGCAAACATAACGCTAACACAATTACAAATACAAACGAAAACAAAAACCTAACAACAAACCCAACCACAACCACAAACACCAATACAAACACAAAGAAAAAACAAACAAAAAAGCAAACGAAAACAAAAACCTAACAACAAACCCAACCACAAACACCAATACCAACACAAAAAAAAAACAACGAAAAAGCAAACGAAAACAAACCAAATCCAAACGCAAAACCAACCAAAAACACAAATACAAACCCAAAAAAAACAAAAAACAAACAAAAACGAAAAAAGAAAGAACAAAAACGAACCAAATCAAAACGCAACCACTAACGCAAACCCACCTAAACACAAAGAAAACACTAACGCGAACATAAACGCCCGGGGCGGAATCACCTGTTTTAGCTTACTGAACGACTATAGTACCCCAACTTATTCATAGTCTTTTGCACTCACTTAAACGAACGCGCCTGTTTCAATTTGATGAACAATTTTAATACTCCAAGCTTATCCGTAAAATACCTACAACATTTGCACTTGATCAATCCCCGCTAATTATGTAATTTTTTTTTTCCCAACACCAAAACAAAGTAATTAAAAAGTAAATTATTTTCGACTAATGCAATGGTTTTATAAAGGGAAGTAATTTTGTTTTCCTAATTTATCAAAGGGAAGTAAGTGCTATAGGACTAAATAAAGACATAATTAGAATTTTTGTAAAAGATGATATTTTTTTTAAACTTGTGTTTAATGAACATGCCGACAATTATTACTGTAATTTGAAAAATGAAAATGATTTCCCAACACTTTCAATGGTAATTTTTTAGCTCATAAATTTAGACAAATGCGCACGCTAATTTTCTAACACTTAAATTCGTACAATTCCAACGACATACAAATGCATTACATACAGATCTGAGCTTTATATATATATATATATATATATATATATATATATATATATATATATATATATATATATATATATATATATATATATATATATATATATATATATATATATATATATATATATATATATATATATATATATATATATATATATATATATATATATATATATAGGTAGGTAACTGTAGGTAACTCAGCGATAACGTTTTTTAAGCGTTTGTGGGGTTTAATGGGCCGTAGCATTCATTCTTTCATAAAAAAACTTGCATGACTGTGTTAATTTAAAAAAAAAAATTCTGAGTGACATTTACTGCCAACACGTGTTGAGTAATCCTGTGTTCCGTCTTACCTTATCCCGTAGTGACTCAGTGAGATTAAAACCTGATGACCAGTTGTAATGTAAATTATCTCGGGTTTCCAAGAACTGTAACCGGAGTTTCCACGACACATTTTTTTTTCATGATTTACAAGTTTTACAAAATGTAAATTGTAATTCAGCAGATGATTCTATTTTTCTCCCATATCCTTGAAGCGTAGTATAGTGGCCTACATCCAATTCTGACAAACCAGTTCTTTCGTTTTAGGGGCATGGCGTGTTTTCTTTAATAGTTGGATTTTACATGCTGGTTTTTAATTATTGCTAGAAAATAAATAAATATTCAAGCCCGTTTTAGTTTGATAAAAATAGAAATGTACATTACACGTCATTTGAGTATTTGGCTGGTGGAAAAAAAAAATGTTGCTTTCTATATTGTAGCATGTGTGTCTTCTGCTTCCAGCTTGCTTACGATGCTTCTGTAACAGACTAGGTTTGGGGGGGGGGATTGTGGAGTGAGGGGGGGGGGACTATATTTTGTTCGTGGGGGGGGGGGGTCTTCCCCCCCCCCCCCCCGCCCCGAAGAGATGCCTAAAAAACTCTGTTCTGAACTATAAAAATGTTACGCAGTTATATAAAGCTTCCAAAAAAAAACCCCACTTGTACCCATGTTTACAACATTTTCGTTTTAAATTTATTCTAATACAAGCAATTATAATTTACTATTGTAGTTTTGTTCAGCATTGCAAGTCCGGTGGCAATGTTTTGTAGCACTAACAACAATTACCCTAATCAAGATATTGATTAATTAACGAAAAACCTGCCCACTCGCCACCCACAGTTTTAACACCAGACCACACCACAACCACGGCAAAACTCTTTACGTTGTTTCACTTTTTAAAAACATCGTCACATTTTTGACACGTCGTTCATTATCTAGCCGTGTCTCAGAACTAGATGTCACCTACATAAAGAAAGAAGCCTCCGTCCCACACATCCTCCGTCCCACACACCCTCCCCCACACCTCCTCCCCCACTCCCTGTCGTGTCCTCATCCATTTCGTGTCCTCTCCAAAAATTTCCATATTCCTGTCAACCTGCAGTGACGTCATCACTCTAACGAGCACGCCAGTCAACAAAAAAACAATATAAACTTTAATTTCCTTGTTTTGCGAGACATTTTAAATGTGGCAAGGTTTGGTCTAAGCACCGAACCAAAACGTTACAGTAAAAATGGAAGATAGACAAAGTGTTCTAGTGAATTAAGTTATACATAAACATTTTAGCACCAGAATCTAAAAACTAATATTCTGGTGGCTATTACAAAAAAAAAAATAGTTTTACGTGTGTTGTGAAAATACATTAAAGTAAGGTAAATGAATTTTTTTTTCTTCTTCGAATTACTGTATTGTTAATTATTTTCGGTCGCCGTTTTAAAAATTATCTTTAAAGAAAACTATTTTAATATGGTCTAGTTAAGGTTCTAAGTTTGGGTAAAAAAAGTTTAGTACAAAAAAGATATTAAAGCAAGGATTTTCTTTTAAGAATAAATCAATAACTAGCATACAATGTTACAGGATGATAGGACTATTAATTTCATGATTTTGTATTCATTTGTGTGTGTTGACTTGTTTAATGTGACAGGAATCGTTGATTATGACAAGAATTGCTCATTAGACAAGTATCTTCATAAAGCAAGTATCTTTCATTACGACAAGTATCTTCATAACAATAACTATCGTTCATTAGACAAGTATGGTTCATTTCGACAAGTATTGTTTTACGACAAGTTTAGATTATTAACTTAGTTTCCCTTGACAAAGATCGATATTCCAAACATCACGCTGATATTATTTCACTTATTATAATCTCTATTACATAATCACCTGTAACTGATTGTGTTTTATACGGGCATATTGGTAGGGCATATCTCTCACTTGTCTGGTACCATACCGACGGTCAAACGCAGCAAAAAAAAAAATCCCATCTCAATGAAAATTATGATTACAGTATTTCAATACATAAGCCCAAACAAGGATGAAAGAGCGGTAATTCCCAGTGCTATAATTAGATCTATATTAAAAGTTAAAAAAGACCATGTGTACGATGTGTATTTACCACGTGACCACAATAAGCCTACACCCAACCTTGCATGACCAGTGATAGTGTTGGCTTCTACTGGCTGATAGTTCACTGTTGAAGTACAGACACGTGACTTCCTGGTGCTGTGATAACTCTGTACAAAACACCGGTCACCCCCTCCTTAAATTACACAATGAAGTCAAACCCCCATCCCAAAATTGCCGTGTCTGATAGAATTTCGTCTCAGATTTCTATTCAAACGGGATCAAATACCAAACATACAATACGAGGGATAAAAAAAAATATCCAATTCCTAGAAGAAAGTGTTGTTTAAAAGGATGGAATGTTTACGGTTGTAATGGTGGGTACGACTAGGATTGGTCCTGAAATAGCAGCTTAAAACCTCGACTACACAAGAGCTGCGATCTTAAGTTTAGGTAAACAAGTTAAAACACTCAGGACAGGAGTAATTAATGAGTTTTATAAAACCAGGTGTAGACTACACTTAGGTCTTAACCAGGGCCGCCCAAGAAAAGAATTAACATTAAATAATTAATTACCAGATGGACTTTAATCCTCATTACTCATGTCTTAGTTAGCTGTGGGCTTAACGGGGTAAATTATTTTAATTCTCTTAGTAGAAAGTCTAATGACATTGAGTTTAAACGAATATTAAACATTAAACAAAGAAAATAAAAGTAAACAAATAAATATAAATAAATACCCATTCTTCCCCTCCCCATTTCTGTCTACTCTTCCAAACAACAGTAATTAACAATAAAACAATTACTCTAAAATATTTTAAATATTATACTATAGACTAATGAGGCAGTGAATTATGTTACATCACATCAAGTGCTCTAATTCATCTCTTTAAGCTTTGTTATTTCGCCTTGACGAACGCACTATCCAAAAACTAAAAAAATTCAAACAAGGGACCAAGACAACAGCATCAATATTCAACCCTCAAGCAATTCAACGCCCATAAAAAATAAGGGGAGGGAACAAATCATCCCTATATTTTAAGGCCAATACCTTTATCGCGTTCATCAGAAACGGGGGGATAATCCCTCTAATATTTTTATCTTTGTTTTTTTTCTCGATAGATGAATTCAGGTTTAGGCTTGCGTCAGGTACGGTCGCTTGCAGATCTGACTTCAACGGAGACCGGTCAGGATAGCAGACAGCGGTCAGCGTCCAGTGTGAATATTTTAAACCACGAACCGGTTTCAGTGAGTAATTCCGGAAATGGAGACGTTCTACAGAAAAGTTTCGGTCCCAATTTGGAACTTTTAGCCGCGAAGATATCCCAAGCGGAGATAAATAAGCGCAGACGAGACATGGAGAGACAGTTTGGTGGATATTATAAGGATAACTTAACACCCAATCAAGGCAGAGTGGATGCATCACGTGATATCTACCCCCCGTCCAGGGACGAAGGATCACGCCACTACCCCCCGTCCAGGGACGAAGGATCACGCAACTACCCAGCGTCCAACGGCTCTCACGGGGATTTTGGTATTGTCATCAGCACGTTGAACTCCCGAGATTCCATGTCCCCACCCCCAAGACTGTACGGACCCTCCTCTGGAAGAACATCCGGTAGAGTGACCCCAGCCCCCACCATAGAGTTCTACACAGGCGCCGCTTCAAGAAACCCTCCATCCGATTACCATGACAACAGGGATTTGGATCACGCCAGAGCACCACGTGATAATCCAGCGGGGTATGATTTGCCTCGTATTCGGGTGAATTCACTTCACTCGATGCGCACAAGCCCTATCGCGCATCAGAATATTCTCTCCACACCACAGGTTAAAAAGCCCGTGGCCAAATACAGCTCAATGCCCATTTTGGATCATCTCCAAGATTTAACCGATAACGAAGGCGATGTTCGAACGCGACACGCCTCTACACACACAGACCACAGGAACGACCCGACCAGGCGCTCCGTCAACTCAGCCGTGCCTACACGCCCGGGCGTCGCCGAGGATTCTCTACGTCACACTGCAGACGATTCTACAACTCTACACCAAACAGCTGAGGATGTTGTGGGCGGGGGCAACCGGATTTCAAACCCTAGTTCAAAGACAAGCTCTGGCTACGTGACGCCGAGCCACGCGCCTGTGGTGACGCCGAGTCACGACGCTGCCGTGACGCCGAGTCACGAGGAAACCCCGCCGGGCCGCAGGATGGAGCCAGAGAGCGCGTCGTCAGTCAGCGACATCCGGAACAAGCTGAACAATTTATTCTCCAGGCAGCTCGGGAACACCGGACACGGCAAGGCGCCGGCAGTTCCAGAGAAGCCAAAAGTCTCAGCCGCGTCACGGATATCATCACTGGCGGCGTTGGATCTGCAAGACACGCCCACTTCAAGGGGCCATCAGGCCATAGGACACAGTGAACACAGCGCGTTTAACATACCCAGTCAAACGGTACCAGGATTTCACGTCCCCGAACATACGGGCCCAGCGTTTAACGTATCCGACCAAACGGCTTCAGCGTTTAACGTCCCCGGTCATCCGGCTCCGGCGTATAACGTCACCGGTCATCCGGCTCCGGCGTATAACGTCCCCGGCAACACAGCTCCGGCGTTTAACGTCCCCGGTCATTCGGCTCCGGCGTATAACGTCTCCGGCAACACAGATCCGGCGTATAACGTCCCCGGCAACACAGCTCCGGCGTTTAACGTCCCCGGTCATCCGGCTCCGGCGTTTAACGTCCCCGGCAACACAGCTCCGGCGTTTAACGTCTCCGGCAACACAGCTCCGGCGTTTAACGTCCCCGGCAACACAGATCCTGTGTTTAACGTCCCCAATCATCCGGCTCCGGCGTTTAACGTCCCCGGCCTCACTGCTCCAAATATTTCCGTGAACTCTGACCTGCGTTCGTCCCAGCAGACTTTGAGCAGTGTGTACAACAATGAGCTGCAGGTGCCGCTCACCATGACCAAGGCCGTGTCCATGAACGACATCTCCAGGACTGTACCGGTCATCAACGTCACCAAAGAGGTCAGTAAACCTTAAGTTAGCCAGGTGATACAGATGTAGGTTTAAGTGATGTCATAGTCCATTTTGGTGTTATTTGATATAGGTTTAACCTAGAGGTAGGCCATGTAGTAGACTACGCTTGTCAATCTACAGATTTTTAAAGTTAGAGACTGATATTATTTTTTAAAATACCAACAAGAGTTTCTGGAATATGCACAGAAAATAAGATCTTTTAAACGTCTCCCTAATTAGGTCTAGTTACATAACGCAAGACAATTAACTTATGTAACAAATTCTAAAGTACGTGTGACTAAAGATTTTAACGTGCAGAGGTCGCGATTTTTAAACGAGTTAGTTTTAAAAAAATCGAATCGGATATGTTTTCCAAATTTTATAGAATAACATAAAGAATACACACTTCTCAAGTTCAGCTGTAATAAAAGTTATTATATGTACAAGAGAATAATCATAACAGTTTTTTTTAACCCAACAACAAAATCAAGGGCTATGAGAGTTGTTATTTCGGAAACGTAGCGTAGCGAATCTTCCCGGCGACCTGGGACAAACTTTCAATTTGGCGCACCCCCCCCCCCCCCCCCGGGACAAACTTTCAATTTGGCGCCCCCCATATATTTTATATAATTATAATACACAACTGCAGCTAAAATGAGCTTTTGATTTTTTTTTCAAACCCATTTTGGAGCCCCCTAGGGTCGGCGCCCGGGGACATATGTACCCCCCCCCCCCTCGCTATGCCTCTGAACAGTATTATGTATTAAGGTACGATTTATCAGGTTACGCTTATTAAGGTACATTGTATTTAACACGAATAAGGATACAATGTATTTGGGTACTTTGTATTTGGGTAAGAGAACTACACGTACGATATTATTTTAGAAGAATCTATTTCACGTGTCTACACAGGATAATAGTGTAGAATATGTGTAGAGAATTTAAAAAGTCCACGAGTAAAACTTGTCTTGAGCAAGTCTAGTGCAGAATTGGGGACATTTTTGTGAGGTCATAAAGTGTAACTTAATCGTCTGAGAGAGAAGTCATAGACGTGCTCAGGAAGAACTAATCAGACTGTTAGACGGATAAAAATAAATCAACCGTCAAACATTTAAGTCTTTATATGGGATGGGTCGGGTGCGGGTGATCTCACTAAATGGATCTATATTAGAAACCTGTTTTTTTTAGAACACACCTCAATAAAACACTAGATACAGGAACACACAGTTCTTAAACAGCTTTCTATGGTAACTTATTTTTAACGTTGTTTAAAAAAAAATTACAAATTAACTGTTCGTCTCTATAAGTTTCAATATGGGAGGCGACTCAGTCACACATTGCGTCGCCCAATCAGACACAGAAAGGAGAATGGTTATTGATAAAATATAGAATTCTAAATCGGATCACTTATTAGTGTACATACTCATAGTTATTAATGTTTTTTTATTTAGTTTTAAGTTTTGTTGCTTTAATATCATTAACTTAGATGTTCGCTAAAAATTTAGGATTCAATGTTTGTTGTTGTAGTTGCTGTGTGTAGTGTGTTTTATATTGAAAGTGTGAGGAGTGACTAAATTCAAAGTATTAATGTACAAAGTGTTAAAGTACCATTTATTATGGCATAATGTATTAGGGTACAATATCGTAGGGAAGTATTGAACTAAGTATATGATACAATGTATTCGGGTACAACATATTAGGGTACACTATATTAAAGTACTAAGTGCTAGTGTATTGTCTATTATAGTGCACTGTGATTGGGTACATTGTAATAGGGTACAATGCAGGTGGGTACAATGCAGGTGGGTACAATGCAGGTGGGTACAATGCATGCAGTTGGGTACATTGCAGTTGGGTACAATGCAGTTGGGTACAATGCAGTTGGGTAAAATACAGTTGGGTACAACTTACATTGGATACGGTTATGTGCATACTGTTGTGATACAACTCATGCCGGGAATGACAAAATGTTTAAAAATAGTTTTTTTGACAGGCCAGCTATTTGCGAATGTTTTTAGAATTAGTTCCGGTAACCGGCTTGTAAACTTACGTATGACACTCATTTTTCTCTTATAAAATTTTTTTTCTCTGTTTTTTAAATAAAACGAATAATATATATATATATATATATATATATATATATATATATATATATATATATATGTATATGTATATATATATATATATATATATATATATATATATATATATATATATATATATATATATATATATATATATATCAGCCGATCAAACACTATTTTCTATGAAAGACTCAATGAAATTATCAATGACAGAGTCAATGATAACTACCGCTCTCCTGTATTTTTCTCTTAAGAAACTCAATGATCAAGCGTTAGTAGTTATAAAGAGAGAGAGAGTTTATCAAAACGGAAATAATTCAACTCGTTTAATTAATAAAGCGTTAAACGTAATTATTAATCCTTAATTTCTCAGCGATTGATACAATTGTTTAGGGACAGTTAAACTATTTTTTTAAAAATATAGATCCTCGATTTTCATTTATAATTTATTAATTAAAATAAGATTTTTAAAAAAAAATTAAAACAGGTCTTTGTACTATATTATTAAAAAAAACAACTAATGAATATAATAAATAATTTTGACTATTTCTCATTCTAAACCTATCGAATATCTTTTTTTTTAAATGCAAGGTAATCTTTTATAGAACCTACATGATTAACTTTTCTTCTAATAATTAAAAAAAACTCAAAATAAAAGCTATTATTCCTACAAATATTAGAGTAGTCTCCCTTGACAGTTTCTATTCGAATGTATTTTGTGTTAATTTTCGTTATGAAATACAGTTGACTTTTTAAATAAATTATATAAGAAAACAATCTATCTCTGTGTATATTTATTTAAAAAAAAATATTATTACAATAATTAGAATAGGTGTTACTGGTTAAATAGCAATTATTCTCATTCTAAATCTTTGGCTATCGAGTTTCATGGGTTTTTAAATTTAAGATTATGAACACATTGGCTTGACGAAAATGATTATATACACTTAAATACACACTAAAATTTACATTTGTTAATAAACCTACACTATTTTATGCACACATACAAAAAAGAATATTTTAGCGGCAGTTACAACGTCAAAAAAAAGGAAACTCCTTTATACTGAATAGTTCTACGTAACAACAAAAATGTAAAAATACATAGTCCTAGAGCACACTAACACATACATATATACATACGAAGATATGTGTGTGTGTAAGTAGGATGTGAGGTGTGTAGACAGGCGGGGTGGAAGGAAAGCAGTTTGGCAGGAATAACGGTAGGTAGGAAAGTAGGTAGGCAGGCAGCAGCGCAGGCAGGTTAGTAGATAGGTAGGTACGTAGGCAGGGAGTTAGGTATGTAGGTAGGTGGGCCTAGGTAGGAAGGCGCCTCACTCGGTATAGTGAGCGATTATAGTAGCCCATCATATTCATAGCGTTTCGCAATTATTAAAACGAACAAAGGTACCATAGTACTCACGGGAAAACCCGGGGAGCTAAATGGAACCCTGCCAGGGCGCCACCAAATCGAATTTTTTTTCGTAGAAACCACCACAGGGGTATTAGCATTAACTTCTCAAATTTGAATGACAAACGAATGAAATCTTTGATAATGCTTAAACAAACATATTCGTTTTTGGGGCGCGGGTTTGTCCACACTGCCGCCTAGACGCACCAAGGCTCACTGTATGAAAGCATTGAGTGTACGTTAATCAACCTCTGTAATAGTGAGGTAGAAAACACATTGGCGACCGCCCGTGTGTTAGAGACGCGTCCCTTGGCGCTCCAGGGAGCCACTGGTTATATTTCCGCAGGGGCGCCCCTAATTCGGTTTAATTATAAAATGTCGTGTGCCACCGTGTCCCTATTGTAGGGTGCTCTTTAAGGAGGCACTCTCTGTAGAGCCCGGGGCGCTCGCTGTCGCCAACTGCCAGGGCGCCGGCGGGCGCTCATTATTCTACTTAGTGAACATTTATAGTAGCCCATCTAAACCGTAGTGTCGCCCGAGATGGGTATTGGCTGCTCTGGGCCACTCAACCGCCGGGGAGCTGGCGGATGAACCTGGTGTAGTTTTATCACTGAATCTCAGAGGCGTAGCACCATTCCTGGCGCCTGGGGACAAATTTTCAATTTGGCGCCCCCCCCCACTCCCGCCGGAGACAAACTTTCAATTTGGTGCCCCATCCCCGTATTTTTTAAATATTTATAATGCAAAACTATAGCTAAAATTAGCTTTTAAATTTTTCCAACCATTTTGGCGCCCCTAGGGTTGGCGCCCGGGGACATATGTACCCCCCGCCCCCCTCGCTGCGCCTCTGCTGAATCTAGTATTACCTATGACCGCAATTGATGAGATAGCCCCTCTGGATTCCCCTCTGGATTCTGAGCTCATAATCGTATAATTAGAAAAAATCGAACCCTCCCAGGGTGTCACACTTAAGAATTTTTTTCTTTCTCGAAACCCTTTTCACCAACTACCCAAAATTTTATGACTCTCGTACGAACAGTGTCAAATTGCATCTGGCTTTTATTTTTATGGAGAAAAATTGCATTGCTTCCTGTCAGAGACCCCAGATCGAATGGGGCGCCAAAAGGGGTAGACAATTTTTTAAAAAATCCTCATTCTTCAGTTTAATTTAAGAAAACAGATTTATACATGGCTGATATCCTCAATTATTTTATATAGGGGAGTGTATGTAGGGATGGGCGCCTTTTTGCCAGCGTTTGAATAGGGTTGGCACATAATTGATAGTTCGCCCCGGCTGCCGGAATAGGTTGCTACGCTTCTGCTTCCTGCTAGGGTGCCGCCCTGGCGAAATCTTTCCGGGGGGGGGGGGGGGGCGTGCGGACACTGTTAAAAGTATTTTTTTCTATATAAATTCCGTTTCGTTCGGGGGTGGGGGGGGTCGATAGACTTTCTTCGGGGGGTGGGGGGCTCTGCTTCCCCCCCCCCCCCCCTCCGAATAGATTCCTGGAAAAAACTCT